GAAACAGTTTAAATGCTAACAATGCAACGGTTTCGGGTCAAGTATTTCCATTTCTCCTTCTCGTCCTCTCTATTTTCCACCGCCTCCGTTTTCCCGGCAACGGAAACGAAGTGTAATGAAAGCGTGTAAAGTGCAAATCGAAAAGGCAATACAAGTAACGAGTACAAAATACTTGTACCTCTGCCCCTCCGTATTGTTGGCAACCAGAATTTTCTCTAAATTACCAATGTCGGACCCGGTGGGCCAGGACGATAAGGCTAGGAGGCACATCCTGCCAGGTGAAACAAGGTGAAACGAAGGAAACAGGCTGAGGAAATGTTTCGGCGAATGCAAGTTTCTTTTACGTTCTAAATGGGATTTTCGTTTGCGTTTATTTGTGCCCATTTTGTTGTGTGAAAATTATAACTTTAATTAAACGAATTTAATTTGGCAACCAAAACTGCATCCCTAATGCCTTGGCTTGGCCAAGAGAGGACTTGGACGAGAGTGGTTTTATTTACTTTAAGCCTAAACAGATTTCCATATTTCATTAGCATTTGGCGACCACAAAAACCGCCAACGAATTAAATATTGATAATTGTTTTTCCAAATCGATTCCGCTGCCAGCTGCCCGAGTCCAGTGTTATCTATATGAATTTAAATATATGCAAGAGTATATATAGATATATATATATGGCAATTACATAATCCAGTGACAGAAAAGAGTTTTGTTGCCGTTCGCCGTTGTGCTTTTTGAAATTTATTGCATATTTGTTTGGCGCAGGCTGTGAACTCGCCCGGGAATTGCCCGGGGGCTTAGAACTAACAATTCAAAATGCATTTAAAGCCGTCGAGGCGGCGCGCCAAAAACGGGACAAATGAAAAATTTCAATTAACCACAAAAACCGATGGCCAAACCAAATCGAAACTGGCCGAGAGAAGCACAACGAGATGCAAAAATGGAGAAAAAGGGGAGGCGCTGGCACAAAAACTGCCAACCATTTTGGCTAAATCATTTTCCTCTCTCACTCTGTCTCGGTTTCCCTCTCTCTTTGAGAAGTTTTTCCAGCTACCAGGGTTTTGCGTTTCGTCCCTAGGAAAATCCTTTTGTCGTAGAGATGCGTACCCTGCTGCTGGGCCACAATTAAATGCATTCGACAATGCACCTGACCGACCACCACCTCGTCCACATCCGTTCATTTATTCATTGAAGATTGGCTTTGGCCAATCAATTGGCCATGTTGGTGCCCGTTGGCCATGGCCAAATCAATGCATCCTGCGGTCCCCAAAAAAACCATCGAAATCAATGCGAATTATTTGGTTTTCCAATTCGTTACACTTCGTTAATGACAATCCCTAAACTCGTTTTGTTTTTCGCCCCACGGTAAGATTTTGGAAAATGCAATAATTCTATTTTGGGTCTCGCTCTCGCCGTCTGCCGTTTATTGTTCATCATATCGACATCAATCCCGGGGCATGCCGGAGACCGCAGAGGAAATTTATTTTATAACAAACAGGCGAGCACCACCGCAGCTCATTTGGTGCCACGAAAACCGCCAATTTGGCTCTGTGCGGCAAGCAGCATTTCAAATCGCACTTTAATTTTGCATATGAAGTGTATGTTTGTATGTGTGGCTGGGTGTGGGCGTGGGCGTGGGCGAGGGGGCGTGGTATAACCCACTCAATCGTTTTCGGAGCATTGTGTGTGTTGACAAAGACGTGAATAAAAATTTATGCGCACAGAAGTATGCTATGCGACATGCACATAAAATGATTATGACGATTATGCTACGAGCTCGGATGCTGGGATGCTGGGATACTGGGATGCTATATGTGAACAGAAACATGAGCAGCCATCACTTACAGCTGCGGGCATATTGTACAATAGTATATTCTTTCAGTTTCCTACATTTTTCTAACAAGCTCTACGCACTTGTTTTATTTCTATTTTCTAATAATGATTGCTGGGAAACCTAACTTGGGTATTAGAGATTTTTTTAGGAATTGTGCTTTTCAGCATTATTATAAGTACATTTGGGTAACTTAATGCAAATAAATATTTGTAACTTGTATATATTAAAGGTATTTATTTATTTATTTACTAGTTTTTTGATTTTAAGAATTGTGTTTTTCGTCACTATTAGAAATATGTTTTAGTGATAACAAAAATTCATATATTTTTCCTGCCAAATAATTTATTTAATTTGTTTAACCAATTTTTTATTACATTTTTAAGCTTTATCATAATTTTTAGGCTTTTAAGATTGCTATTTTTCATAAACATTTAAACTTAATTGAAGTAATAAAATATTTTTGCAGTAAAAATATAATTTTATTTTATTATTTAATGATTATTTAAACAATATTCAAAAATTGAAAGTATTAAAGGAGCTGGAATAATAAATATTAAATTAAGAACTAATCTAATTTTTCCTAATCTTCTGCACGATTAAAACAAAATTATTAGTAAAAATGTTTGATAAATTATAAACTTTACCTATTAACTTGTTATTTAAAATATAACTTTTTTTTAAGAATGAGGTCACCACCTTTTCATCACTTTGACATACTGACTAATCTTTAAGTTAAGTCAATGTAAGCATTACCAAAAGTTTGCAGAAATCTTAGTTGAGAATTATAGTGCAAAGTAAGTGCAGCATTAGTGGAGCGATGCTAAGGGTTTTCTTCCTCCGAGGAATGATAAAATAAATTTTTAGAAACTGTCATTTTAATGTTTATCATCATTTATCTGATTTCATAGTAACCTAAGACAAATTATAATAATTATATGAGTTAAGACAAAATATTTATTATTATACAAGTTATAACACTTCATAATTTACATATTAATAATTAATTAATTTTTTTTTTTTTATTAAAATGTAAATAATTCTCTTATTTAATTTTCCCCATAAGGAGTATTATTATTCCGACCTTGGCTGTATGTAAACCCCACACTCACTTGGCTCACACGGTCCCCACATTTATTGACACAAATTGCGTTTTGAGAACGGCATTTGGCAGCCGATGTTCCGGGGCTCTCCCTCTGCTTCTCTTTTTATTAAGGCAATAATAAAATATTCATAAAGATTCAGTTTATGCTGCGATAACAACGAATATATTTTAGAATAAACGTCCATTAAATAGGTTTGTGGGTTGTGGCGCCTAAACAATCGATGGTTAAGTGGATGGCGATGAAGATGGAGATTCCTGCTTTATTAGCCCCCGCCTGAGTTATTTGCGGTCGGGACTAATACTTGCCTTAAAACTGTGTGTGTGTGTGTGTTTTGGGGGCTCAATCAATTCCAGGGCAAGCTGTGCGCCACACAATCATGTCAAGAATTCAATATCAAAGCGCGAGAGCAGCTGTCGCTGATGACATCGGAGGAATGTCCACGATTTCATCAGTACACCCCCCTCATTCGCCTCATCCTCCATGGCCTTTCTTTCAATGCCATTGATGAACAGGCTTAGAGTGCTTGGCGGTTGGTGGTGGGAGGTGGGAGGTGGTAGGTGGGAGGTGGGAGTTGGGCGGAGGGAAAACATCGCAATTTGATTACAAATATGAAACATGTTCACACAAATATGATGACCTGCCCCTCGGAACCCCGAGCCATCGGTTTCCACAGCTTCCTCAATGGCGTGTGTATGGAGTGCACTTAATGGCGTTCCCACATAGGTCGGAGGAGGGTCGGACGAAGGATGCGAGAGTCAAGTTAATATTGAGCCAACTTGAGTCAATTTTGAGTGAGTGACGCCCAAAGACACTGAGACAAAGTGGGGATAATAATTTAAGATTTAAGTTTAAACAGGGCAAAAGCGATTATGTTAACTTATATTTGTTTCTTTTAAGTTGATAATAATATTTTAAAGAAATAAAAGCTCCACCAGATCGTCTTGGTTCGCCTTCTAAACCCTTCATCGTCTAGTTAAAAAGTTATACATTTTTTTTAAATCATGTTTTTTTAATAAATCGCCATTAATTCGTAAAATAATTAGTATTTGTCGATACAAACACGATAGTATCGGTAATTATTAGATATTAATAGTATCCTCGTCAAACTTTTCTAACAAATCAAAACTTATCATACTTGTAAGAGTTAAAATTCAATTAAACTTGAATTTTTAACAGTGCAGGAAACCTCCTCGCTGAGATGGCAACACCCGGTGGAAAATTGCAAATAGACAAGATCTTAGGCCATTAGGTTTAATTGCCAAAGTTCTGGTGCAACAGCCAGTGAAATTGCAACTGCAACTGCAACAAATAGCGTGGCTATCAATATTTCCGTGGCTGCATTTGATTTCCTAATGCATCCGCACCGAAGGCTGGAGTCAAGTTGACAGGCAGGGAGACGGCCTTCATCCGCCACCCAACACCATCGTTCGCCCCCCATCATCCTTGTCAACGATTAACAATATCCGTTTCTCTGCTCCGGCAGTAGGTCGCCCTGGTCGCTGGTGGCCTGGTTCGGGGCTTGGTTTTAATTAGTGCAGCCCCGAACGTATTTTCTATTGGCCAATTCACCGCAGAAGCTTCATTACCGACTGTGCCGTGTGTGTGTATCATTCGCTTTGGCCGTGTGTTTCTGTGCCGGACAGATTGTGAGTCATTAAGTTGATGCAGCAGCAACAACAGCAGCAGCAACATCTGTGGAAGCCACACAAACAGGCAGTTAGGATTGCCACATGCCACGCCCACAACGGCGGTTGATGATTTCCTGGAGGGAGCTCGGGTTCAACTGTAACAGAATCGGTATCATCACCCAGAATCACCAGAGCCCGGATCAGTGCGAGCAGAAACCGAACTGGAAACAGAAACATGTCGAGAGAGTTAACCTTTGTTGGCGGTTTCTGCTTTTTGTGCGCCGGAAACGGCACAGCAACTCAATCAGTTTTTGCGGTTTACGGTGGTTGGTGGCCCCGGCCAAAGAGGACACGCTAATGGCTCACAAATGGCACTTGAATAATTGAAAGCCGGAAACGGAGCAGAGCAAAAACGGAGGCGAAATAAAGCGAACGGATTTAGCCAGGACTGCCTGCACACATGTCATTGTCCAGTCCATTGTCAGGTTTTTTTTTATACACGTTATAGCCATGTACAGAAATTGCACTCTTCAACTACAAATTAACTAGGAATTGTACTAACTAATACCAGGAGGGGGGAGGACTACAGCGAGGCATCCTTCTTGCCGGAAGCCGCATGATCTGGGTCCGAATGCGGTTTCTCTTTGTCCTGCGGCTGCTGCTGCTCCTTCGCGTTTAGTTTTCTCTTTTCATTTGTAATTAGCTTCTGCAGCTCATCCTCCCAGCCTAGAGCTTTGGCCAGAGCCAGGACCCCGGCATCGCAGTCGCCCAGAAAGGCCACATCCCTCGTGTTGTTGGACTTGTTGTAGAGCAGCGATCGCTCATGCGGATCCATCCAGGGCACAAAGCTGGCCTGGCCCACCGCATCCCGATTGATTAGCAGCCGCACACATCGTGGTCCCGGTCGCTGGACAAGTGACGCAAATGGCTGCACTTCCAGCGAAGTGCCCATTATAATCAGAAGATCACAATCTTTGAAATCCTCATCTGGACACGTGTAAAACCTGGGCGGCAGGTTCTCGCCAAAGAATACAATGTCCGGCTTGACCACACCCTTGCAATCCATTTTGGTGCAGGTGGGCAAGCGATCCGCAAAGATCTCCGCCTTCATCCAGGCCATGTCGTACTCTTTCCGGCACTTCAGGCAATGGTTGGTGTGGAAGCTGCCGTGCGCCTCTATGATCTTGTCGTCGGGCAGACCCGTCAGCCTGTCCAAAGTGTCTATGTTCTGGGTATAGTGACGCTTCAGCAGGCCCTTGTCGTGCAGCAGTCGGACAAAGTAGTGAGCCGGTGTGGGGATAAACGAGCCGGGGTACAGCTCCTTGGCCAGGGCGAAGAACGGAGTGGGGTTCTCCTCAAAGTAGTCCAGATCGAAGATGGCCGTGGGATGTGGCAGATTGTACTTCTTCAGGTTGCTGTACAGCCCAGAGCCCGGTGACCGAAAGTCCGGAATCCCAGCGGCTAAGGAGAAAGAGGAGTCATTCTAGGATAATGCTAAATGGTTTAACCAAACCCACAGGTGGAAATGCCTGCTCCCACCATAGTCACGATCTTCCGGAAGCCCTGGTCGCGCCAATGGCTGCCTAAGCCCTCGAACGACAGGTCAGGTATTACCTAGAAAACAGATATCTCTGGTAAATATAATATATAATCATTTATGGTAAACCGCTCACCTTCTCCAGTTTGGGCTCTGCTTTAGCATCTGTTGTGGAGCCACCAAGATTTAGGGTGTGGGAGAAAAAGCGACGAATCATATCCATTGTGGCACTATCTGGAAATCAAAGCAAAACAAAAGAAGGTTAATTTAGTGACAGTAAACGCCATGGGTTTGCTACGAACCTTCGCCGCCCTCTTCTTCGTCACTGGAGGAGGCATTAGAGGTCTTCGCCGGCGCAGGCTGCTCCTCTTCCTTCTTTTTCCCACTGTCGCTCATATTTGGAATGATCCTTGCCCTCGGATAATATCTGGAGGAGCTGCGAATTATATTAAAAACCCCCGTTGTTTTGGTTATTTGTTTTCGTTTCACACGACGTGACGTTAGTGCTGGTCAACTTTCGATAACATCCAATTGGAATATTATCTATAGCTATAAAATAGCTGGTTTAAAATGAATTCATTTTTGTGAAAATTAATATAGCTGTAAAATAACGAATTGTGAATTTCTTTGTGTGAAAATGTAATAGTTAAAAATAACATATATTTGTTATTTCAGAGTCAAATTTATTTTATTTACCCAAAAGCAGCCGTATTCTGTTAAAATGGCTAGATGCCCACCACTGAGTGCAACGATTACTCGATAGCTGTTATCGGCGCACCCTCCGATATACACTCTGACAGGCAGCCCTGGCGCACCACTTTTGCCCCGATTACTCGATGTGCGGCTGCCTTGCAGCTCTGCCCGTTCGCCCAGCCCTGGAAAACCACGCCAGTCATTTTTGTTTTGATAAGGATACGGATACAAAAAGAGCGTGGCCTGGAAAAAGTGCTGAAATCGCCAAGGAAGCGCCGCAATCTACGGGGTAATCGGTGCAAACAGTGCGTTGGACCGTGCGCGACAAAGTGGGCGAGCATTCGGGCATTCCCCAGGCTACATACGTGGAAGCAGCGTGTGGTGGCGGAGCAGAGGCGCAGAGGAAGAAGAAGAGGCGGAGGCAGCAGCAGTGGTACACAGAAGAAGAAGGCGAAGCACGGCGCAGACAGCTAAAATAACAAACCAGGGGAGAGCCCGCGGAGAGAGAGTGGAGAGTGGAGCGGAGTGGAGTGGCGGGGAATGGCAGTGGGCCTGCCGTGGCTGCCATTGTATAACGCTGATGGGCAGACAATAGTGCCGCGCTAAGACTTAATCTCGAATACCTCGCAGCACCATGCATCTGAACCATGCGACTGCCGCCACAGCAGCCATGGCCAACTACCAGCACTACCAACTGCCAGCCTCTCATGGTGGCGGCGGCGGCGGTGCAGGAGGAGGCGGTGGTGGAGGAGGGGGCGGTGGCGGTGGAGCTGGCCTGCAACAGCCCACGACGCTGGCCAGCCTGCAGCAGAGCCCGTTCGCCCTGCATCAATTAACCGCGGTGCAGGCCATTCAGCATCCCACCCACCAGGCAATGCTCCATCCACAGCACCCGCTGGTCCATCTGCTGGACATCTCCACGACCACGGCGAATAGTGGCGGCGGCGGCAACGGAGGTGCGGGCAATCATACGCCCATTTCGCCCATGAAACAGGAAGTGCAGAGCGTGATCAGTGAGGAGGAGGTGGTGGTGGACGATCCGCGCAAGAAGAAGCAGTGCCACGTGTGTAAGAACAAGTTCCGGCAACTGACCACGTTACGCAACCACATGAAGATCCACACGGACGAACGGCCCTACAAGTGCAAGCACTGCGACAAGGCCTTCCGCCAGATCTCGACGCTGACCAACCACGTGAAGATCCACACCGGCGAGAAGCCATTCACCTGCAACATCTGCGCCAAGGACTTTCGCCAGCAGAGTACGCTGATAAACCACATCAAGACGCACAAGGGTGAGTGTGTGGCATCCAGTTAGAGGCTCTAATTAGACTCCTTCTCTCGTTTCCTTTTGTTCTCGAGCAGCGGCGGAGTCCAGTACGCCCACGTCCCTGCTGAACTATCAGCCGCAGCCGGGCAGCGGCAAGCATCGAAAGTCGCAGATGCAGGTCTACCAGCAGCAGCATCAGCGTGTCCAAATCTCAAAGACCCTATACTCCGGCAGCTATAGCTCTCCGGCGGCCGAGGAGCTGGTGAAGCCGTATCAGTGCAGCGTCTGCAAGCGCCGCTTTCCGCAGCTGACCACGCTGCACAACCATGAGCGGACCCACATCGATCCAAAGCCCTACAAGTGCGAGACGTGCGACAAGTCCTTCAGCCAGCTGGCGACACTGGCCAACCACAAGAAGATCCACACGGGCGACAAGCCGTACACGTGTTCCTACTGCCACATGCAGTTCCGCCAGCAGAGCACCCTCACCAACCACCTGAAGACGCATACGCATCAGATAGCCGGCGGCGGTGGCGGTGGAGCAGGAGCTGGAGGACCCGGAGGATCAGCAGGAAGCGGTGGCGGAGGCCCCGTAACAGCCACAGGTGAGCCGCTTGTGTGTTCGCCATACCAATGAGCCGCTTTCTGTTATCACTGTGTGCATTGATTATTAACGCTCTTCCCTAACGAAGCTTTTATTTAAATCTTGTGTACGCATGCTAATTCCGTCATCCAATCATCCAATCCAACACCAATTGACCGACAACCACCTGCAGTGGATCACTCCATGCCCCCAACTCTGGCGCCCGGGACCCAGCAGCTGACGACTGGACTGTTGCCGAACAACCTGCATGGCAACACGCCGAACATCATCCAGCTGGACCATCATCCGCTACTGCATTTCCTCGATGGCAGCACCACGGTCAGTTCGGTTGTGGCAACGGCGGCGGCCGTTACCAAGGTTGAGCACTTCCAGCCGAGCGGAAGCGGAGGAGGAGGAGGAGGATCACCGCCGGGCCGCATGACCATTGTGGGCAACATCAATATGCTAAAGGGCGACAATCCGGATAGGCCGTTCGGCTGCAGCGTTTGCCAGCGATTCTTCTCGCAGCAGAGCACCCTGGTCAATCACATCAAGACGCACACGGGCGAAAAGCCGTACAAGTGCAAGATCTGTGAGGTCAACTTCCGGCAGGTGGCCACGCTGAATAACCACATGAAGATCCATACCGGGGAAAAGCCCTACAACTGTTCCTACTGCCCCAAGCAGTTCCGGCAGAAGAGTACGCTGCAGAATCACCTGAGGGTGCACACCTGCTAGACCCAGAGACTCCAGATCGCCAGCCAGCCGCTAGCCGCCAGTCAAGCAGCCATTGAGGAGGAATAGTGCAATATGCATGCCACATAGCACATACACAGTTATAGATCGCATATACGGCATACGAATACGATGATTACATGAATACTATATTTAAATATATATACTCGAAAGTGTTATTTACCTGCTGTGCAGAGCGCAATTGTATGTAACTATATATCGCGTAGAGAGCCGATCCACATGCGTGTCCAATTGTAAATTAAGGCTAAAACCGTATTCGCATAAGCCACGAATGATTATGATGATGATGATGATGATACAGGGTGTGTGTTTAAGCCTAAACTCTACTGCTATCCTAGTGTAGGATCGATGCTCGAGGAGCGTAATCTTTAGACCCTTCTAAGCCATTTAAATCTAAGCCTAAAATTAGCTCTGATTTCTGATGAAACTTGATTTAGACATATTCCTTGTAAATTACACAAGTTGTGTATAGGTTATTATTTTCTAGCTCTGATAAATAAAAATCGTATACACTTTACACATGACTTAGGCCACCTTAAAAGAGTTAAACTTCTTTTATATAAATAATTTTTAATTATTATTATTATATTTTATTTTTTACTTTACTTTTTATCAGAGCTGGCAACAGAAACCTTAACTATTTTCTTTGTATATTAACTTTATAAATATACACTGAGGAATAATATATTCCAAACTTATGGGAAAACTGTTCTAAAAGACTTTGATATTTGTTCTTTATAAAAAAAAGCGCACTCGTTATTCTCATATTATTTATTGTTAGTTAAAACATTAAAAAATCTAAATGGTTTGGAATTGCCTAAGGATTACCTTCCGCCTATAGCCCCCATCTGCCACTGTTGTCATCCCCAAAGCCCCAGTCCCCCAGCCTATTAGTTCCGAGTATCGGCTTCTCTCCAGCTTTTCTCGTCGTGTTAAATGTTAAGCCCGCCAGCAAAGTAAAGTAAATTAATTAAAAAATTAAAAACTAGTTATTGCTATACTACAACAACAAGAAAAACTGTGTGTAATCCCCGCCCCGCCCCCCGCTCTAAACTTACGAAGGAAACCGAAAAAAACAAAACAACCTATTTATATAAGTGTACTCTTAGCGCATATTTAGCAGCATCTTCTACTCACATGACTACAAGCGGAGCAAAGGCGCGATCGCACATAAATAATAATCAATAATACATTTAAAGAACGAAGGAATACAAGAAGAAATAAACAAAACCGGGTTGCTTATAGAACAAAAAATAATACTTAGAAAACGGAGAGACAAGAGGTAGTCCCTATATTAAGTGAGGCGATGATCAAGGAGGAGAGAAGAAAACGAGTAAAACCAGCTACTATAATTGAATTGACCGAGATCGAGATCGTAAATGTTGTAGAGAATATATAGTATATATAAAAAAATATATATATATAAACTACTTGTAAATGTAAGCGAAGCGAAGAGCTAAAACAACAATAAAACATGCAAAAACAAAACAATTAAATACAAATAATATTATGTTTTATAAAAGGAAGGATTTCCTATAAGGGAAATCTTGAGAATGTTTTGAAAATGAAATATATATTGTTTATTTTGTATGATTCTCTGGTGAAACCACAGAAATATCCTTCTTTACATGGTTCGAACTTCGAACTAGGGAAATATATTTTAGTTTACAAAATTTGAAACCTATAGCTCATGGTTCGTACTTTATGTAATTGGTGTTAAGTTGCATTTTGGACAATTTTTTGTTTTCAAGATAATTACAAAAATGTAAAGCATTGGCACCCGACACAGAACACTTTTCGCACTGTTTCAAAAACCAGTTCAAGCACCGATTTCAGCAAAACGTGATGAAAGGTTTTCTTGCAATTAATTTTAATCTACTATGCATCGATTGATCTTAACGTATTTGGTTTGACTTTAAAATATAAGGAATTTTTTAAAATTGAATTTTTGGTATTTGGTTAATTAGAAGAACGTTTTCTATCGAATTCGCATTAGAATATTTTGAAATTTGTTTTATTATTTATTAAATTTGATCAATTTGAGCATTTCTTAAGGGGTTGGGGTATGGTATTTAAATGTTTTCGTAATTTTTTTTGTATATTTTATTATTAATTTGTAATATCTTAAAAATATTTCGTACACGTTTCACATCGATCATAGCAAAGTTGACAAAGTTATGCGTAGTTGAACGGAGCTCGTTTGGTGTTTAATGTGAGTCTTAACAAGTTTAAATCGCTCACCTGTAAAGTGCCATTTTGAAAATCGGTGTACACGTCATTTTTTAGTCAAAATTCGGGGTTTTGCCTTTTAATATTGATAAAAAAAATAGGACAAAATTTTAAAAATAAAAACGTCATTTGAGTACCTCGGCATACTTATCCTTTAACGAATGCAAAATATTTTTTTGATATCGGATAATTCTGTGGACAGCAACGTTTTTCTGAGAGCACTAGGGAGATTCCCTATAACTCTTATACCTCTAAAGATTCTTCAATACATAATTTAACACAAAATTGTTTAAATGTTGTTTTACTGTATGGTATTTAATTTGCTAAACTTAAACATAATCACTCAGGATTTCATTGTCTTACCAAAGCGGATGTTGTAAATAATTTATAAATATTTAAAACATATTTCACTTATTTAACTATTTTTATTATTTAATTTGTTTTGTATTTAATTATTTTATTTTTTATTTACTATTTATCTGAAATTTATCAATCCCCAAACCCTTAGCAAGTCAAAGAAAACACACTTGAATTTGATTTGAAAAAGGGGAATTTATTAAAAGTTCTTGTTAAGGACAGCGTTGTTTATCAAGATTGCAAGTTTTGAAGGGAAAGGAGGATAAAAAGGGGATTGTGTGTATACGAGATACTAAAAGTAATAACTATAAGCACTTTCTTGTATTTAATCTCTAGGGTGTGTTGCACTGCGTGTTCTTTTTTTTTTTATTTTGCTTTATTTTGTTTTGGGATGGCAGAGAGCCTCTCGAGCATTGTTCATTTATTTATTAACTAGTATAAATCGTGTCAAGTAATGGTACATGCCTAAAGAAGGGAAACGGAAAGGCGAACTAGCTAAAATAGTCGTAGCATGGTTTAAATGGAATTTTTGACGAAATCTGGTGCTGCATCTAGGCGAACGTGCGTGTATTTGTATATTTATATAATAATCCGATCGATATCCTAACCTAACCAGGGGAGAAGGATATATGGAAAAGATACTTGCACTTGGACTTTGTCTGCCTTGGGGGAGACTTGGATTTTTCAGGACTTACGCACGACAAACACTTATATTCCTATGTACATGGAGTTGGTGATTCTTAAGATGGATGTTTTTTCTGGCCACGCTCCTCGTTCAAGATCCAGATCAAGATCTCATACTTTTTCGCTATGTGGCAGAAAATGTACAATACAGTAAAAAGCAATACTTTTCTGTACTCTAGGGTGTGTATATATGTCTTCTATAGGTTGACCAAAGGTTTATCTTAAGCCTAATACCCACTGACTCCACTCCAGCACAGCTCTACTTGAACAGCCAGCGCAGGATCAAGCTAACGACCAGCCCAACCAAAGCGTAAATCACCGACTTGACCACCGTCGACTGCGAGACACCGCCGCCGAGCATGTGATGCGAATGAACACTTGTGTGACTATGCGGCGGTGCGTACTGCATGCGTTCCAGCCGCTGGCTAATCTCGTTCAGCTGCCGCGAATGCACCTCCAGAACTCGGTTCACCTGGTCCACGGCCAAGGTGAGTCTGAAAGGAAAAAGCACAAGGGATAATTAATAAACTTTTCACTCATCTGGCTGTAAATAATCGATTTATATCGAGAGGAAAGTCTAAAATAATATATCGACAAAAATTGTATATCGAATATATGCTTACGTTTGCTATATCGAAATTTTAAATATCGAATTATATTGAATTTTAAAAAAATAATCAATTTGAAATGAATTTAACGTTAAAATATTTATATAAGCAAAAATATAAAAAAAAATGTTATTAACTTGACGGATATTGGTTCGATATATCAACAAAAAGCTTATCCTATCGAATATATCCTTAAGTTTGCTATATCCGAATTAAGAATATTAAATAATAGGGAATTTAAGCTTAAAATATTGATATCATCAAAAATATTTCCAATAAGTTTCAATATATTAACCAGAATATCGATTTATCGATCATATATCGCAACGTATATATCGAACTTCCTCTTAAATATCAATACAATACCGATACACCGATATTTTCAACCATTCGTATTGTAAACAAATATATACTCACTGCTTAATGGCACTGGACGAGCTGCGCTTAACTACTCCCTGGGGCGACTGGCTGGAGTCCGAGTTGGTGTCGCGAGGTGCCAGCACCAGGCTCTTGTTCTTAGCCTTGGCCGCTGTGGAGCCACCCGCCATAACATGTGATTGTCTTTGATTGCGCGATAGCTTTTCAAGGGAGCTACGCAGGGGATGAATCCCATCGGTGCCATGTACAATGGGCACCGATTTGTGCCGCGTCTGGGTGAGTACCTTGAACTGGCATTCATATTGGCGCACATCGTTGCGCGGGTCCCAGGGCCGCAGATCGGCGTACTTGTACATCCACTGGCCATAGCTGTCCAACTCAAAAAGATCAGGCGTATGGGTGGATTCGGTACTGGCCCGCTCCTTGGCCTTTGCTCGCTGGTGCTCCTCCAATTTGGTCTTCTCCTCGGTGGCGGCGACCTGATCCTCGCGCGCAATCGCATCGGAGACTTGCTGCCACAAAAGCTGCGACTCGAAAGGCTCCTGTGACGCAAGCGGCACCAAGTGGCGTGTTAAGCGCTTGGAACGCATCTCGGCATCCGCCCTAAACAGCAACGATTCCTCTCCCGTCTTTGAGTCCTTTATCCGGCACTCCTTGTCCCAGTGACCGCTGATGGTAGCCAGGGTCTCCTTGCCCATTTTGATCTTTCCCACTACAACATTGGTGGCATCGGCGCCGCCAAGGAACGGCTTCAGTTTGAACTCCAGCTCCGTCCTGTAACCGGTGTTCTCGCACTCGATGTTAATCTTTCCGCCCAGCTCCATGGAGAGCGTGCCCATCAGGATGCCCTTGCAGTGGGCATAGGGCGTGGTCGCCGTATAGCACTCACCGCGCGGCAGCAACGTCATCGTGGCAGCGCCCTCGAGCACCGCCGAGGTGCTGTTGCCGTAGAACTTCGATTTCGCCAGGATGGAGCAGGTAATGCTGAAGCCGTCCTCGCGGTTCGTCACATAGAAGGCGGACACGGGCGGATGGTGTGAGACCTGTTCCGCAATGTAAAAGGTCCGGCTGCCGCTGGGATGCTGCCAGAAGCATCGGAACCGCTCGCCCAATATCGGATTATAGGGCTTCTTCAAGCCCTTGGGCTTTTTGTAGAAGCTGGACAGGTACCATTGCACGACTAGCTTCATGCGAGTGAACGCATCGTCCTCCTGAACGGCCCTGTGATGGAAACAAAATTGGGATTATTAAGAAATTCCAAAGGGACAGGTGAAAATAAGACAAAGACCCACTTGGATAGCAAGTCCGCGTGATAGTATGAATCTGATAGCTTGTCCAGAAACGAGCGCGGCTCCAGGATGAACGTGGGCAGCACCACCTTGCTCAGGTCCATTCCCGGTCGCACCTGCTTGACAATGCACCAAATTAGGCTCTTGTTCTCCTCCGCCAACTCCTCTACCTGTTCCCCTTGCTGGAAATACACAAGAATTTAAGAATGGGTTAAATATCGCCACAATATAGTATCGATTTCCTTGTAAAATGGTTTACCCTGCTGCACTCACCTCGCCAAACTCCTCCTCGGTGAAGGGCACATAGGTTGTCTCTACACATTCTTGCTCCATGTTATCCTCCTGCACCGGCTCTGCCGGATCCGATTCTGATTCTGACTCCAGGCCAGACAAAAGCGCATTGGGTGCTTCATTCTGGCTATCAGCGTCCAGATCTGTAAAGGGAATCACAGCGATGAGATAAGTCAGTCCAAGTCAGCATATTGAGCAGACCACGGACGTTATTCTAGCAGCCTGACTACGCCATCTGGGGATCAAGATCCAGGGCGAATACAGCGGCACAAAGATCAACAATGCGTAAAGGGCGAATAGCTTGGGAAGCTCCCTTAGGCCAAAGCTGTTTTATTACTTGAATTTTGAACACTAAGTTCCAAAGCTACTGCGATGTCTGATGAACATGGTGATGATCTCTAGCTTCAACTTAAAAGTGGGAAAACCACAATAGGAATTCATAAAAAATATAAATATTTTACTGCTTTCCCATGTGGATTTCCCATTAATAATGATCGGAACAACTAAAACGACAACAAAATTGGTAGGGGCGGCATTTTCACCCTTGACATTCAGACGGAAGCGCGGCAGCACCAGATAATCGGGCGGAGCACTAACGGGCCGCAAACTTCTCTGGCTATGACCGTAGTCGCCGTCGTCGTCATCGTCATTATCCTCCTCACTGGAGCTGCTGTGGCACAGTGCGGCTCCCAGGGAGATGGATTTGCTCATGGGACTCAAATGGCGACGCTTTCGCTGGCGCGTCACCAGGCCCTGCTCCGCACTGGAGGCATCACTGTACGAGGTCTTTCGCTGCTGGGCTAGTTGCCCGAAACGCGGTAGTCGCTTGGTCCGCTCCCAGTTGCTAACGGCGCTGCTGTAGAGCTGCTGCAGCAGGGGAGTCGGTGCCCGCGGGCCGCTCGACACCAAGCAGGTGTCGGAGCGCGAGAACTCTGCATCGGCCGGCGGCAGGGTCAGGAACTGTGCCCACTTACCCTGATCGTTGAAGTGCTTCTCGTAGTCCGCCTCCGACCATTGCGTCTCATGCGACACTGGCAACGGCTCGCCCACATAACTCGCCGAAGGTGCTGTTCCCGTGCTGCTGTTAGAGCGCAACAGTAGAGCAGAACATCTCAGGGACAGCTCCAGGGCGTCCATCCAGCATTTGCCAGCCGCCTGGCTGGGAGCCCGAAAGATCAGGTAAGCGGTTGGCAAAGGCTGTACAACGGCTCCTGTAAGTTAAAAATATATTTATTAATTTAGATATAAAGTTAATTTTGTAAATAAATCCCAATTACCGATGGTTTCCTTGTCGGGACCTCGCGGCGCCCAAATCGACTGCTCCAGGGGATGAAAGAGCTTGAAGCAGAAGCCATCCTTTTTGCTGGGACGCTCAATCACCTGACACGAAGTGAGCATAACCGTGCCCACCCAGTGGTTGCTTTTCGTCTTTTGGCTTTTGTAAATGAGCAGCAGGCCAGGTTTCAGCACACACCACAGTTTGGTCCAGGACTTGAGAGTTCCTCGTACCTTAAGTAAATAAATAAATCAATATTTAAATAAATAAATAAATAAAGTATAAAACAATTAAACATTTCCTGCTCACCTTTAGCCAATCGGCCAGGACTATAACCGCTGGATCCTGCAGGGAATTCATCAGCTCACTGGCCACTCGCTTCTTTTCTCGCCTGTAGTTTTTCCTTTGGGCCTTGTACGACTCCTTTCTATTAAGCTTAGCAGCATCGGCAGCCGACTGTTTGGATATAAAAAAAATATATAAAAAATTAATTAAAGTGTAAAAAAAAGAGACTAATTAGTATTTCTACCAAACTACACCTTTCTCCCTTTGCAGCATTGGAAAAAATTTATATACTTAAAATACATTTGCCGTAAATATTTCGTAATAACTTTTGGTTTTTCGTTTTTTTTTGCCAAGCGCTTGCGTCAAATGTTCAGCGACAATTGTGGGTTTTGGAGTAAGCTTATAAAGCGAAATCCGAAACGCATTGTTAATCTAATTAGCATTTATAATTTGCTTAGCTGCCCGGATAAAAGTGAAATATTTGTCACTTTTATGCCTGAAATATCATCGTAGCACGTGGCATTTACTATTATTTTATCACACACAAAAACCCACCCACTTAGTCGGCACATCGATTATAACTAAATTAGACAACGGACCGGGGCTCTCTCTTATCACACAACCAGAATTTATTTCCCCAAATTTTAAGTACGGGTATTATTTTCACTTGCCTTATCTGCCAGATTGCCATCCCGACTGTCCGAGGCCCAATTGGCGATTCCTGCAATATGGAAAATCATAGTTTATGTTTGTGGAGGTATCGGGGGGGGTTTTATTGAGTGTGTGATGCGATGATGTTGTGTTTATATATAGCAAACATGATGATTTTAATTCTGAGAAGCAGTATCTAATCGATCTTTAGTCGTTTTCTCTTCCCCATCGAATATTTACGATCCAGAAACGAGACCCAACAACAACAGGGCATTGCGGGAAAAGCGCGTAAAATCCAAAATACATAAAGAGAACCAAGAAGAAGAGATAAATAAAATAAAAGCACACGCCAACAATGTCTCAAGGTGCGATGTTACTCTTGGGGAAGGCACAGGGGTGCGCCGAGGGCCATAGGGGTGCTTGAGGTGGCGGCGATTTATTTATTTTACGAATATGTTTTATTTTATTTCACAACGATACACCGAGAACGAGAGAGATTCTCTGGGGGTTTTCGGGGTCTCAAGATCTCGACTTCTCTCGCATTGTCAAGTGCCTCGCACTTGCACTTTAAGCATCGCCAGTTGGGCGGGCGGCCGCTGCCCTCGTGTCTTTTCACATTCTTATTAATTATTTTTTATTGCTCGGCTAAAAATAAAGGCCGCCCAAAACGGCCAGCAGCAGCGATATTTGAATATGCACAGCACACACGACACAGCACAAAATGTGGGGGAATTAATTAATTCCCTTGGGATATAATGGTTTAATAATTGTCACTTGCTTTGTAGGAGATTCATGACCACCAAAACGCTCCAAGCTGCACCTCTCCGAAGTATATCTTATTTATTTTTGCATATTTTGTTGTGTTTTGCTCATTCACGGGCGGCACTACATGGCGTATGCGTGATGCGAGAACCGATTCCGAGACGAAGCCGACATTCTACGTAGGTTTATTTAATTTTTCGGTTTCCTTTTGCTTTTCTTTTTCAAATTTTATTTTTTTATTTAGTTTTCTGCCTGCCGCTCGTCCGCTGGCCGCTCGCCGACTGATTGAGATATATTATTGAGTCTCTGCCTGAAACGCGCGCACGAAGCGCAAAAACACAACAAAAAGCACCAAGCAGCCGCGGCAAATGACAAAAGCACCAGGGCAGCGACGCCGCAGAGCTGTCGCAGCGCAGTAACTGAGGAATACTCTAACAAACAATTATCTCTGGCTCTCGTCATATATTTTTGAAAGAAAAACATAGAAAACACTTGCCAGGCCAAAATATTTCAAATGAGAGGATCATCTCTGCAGCAGTCGCTGTCTCAGTCGCAGCCAGCGTTGGCAGCAAGTACGAAAGTACAGTGAAAGCACCAAAGAATGAATTACTAAGGCTACAAAGATTGCTTTAATTTTTATAGTTAAACAAACTAATTAAATGAAACGGGGTTTTATTAGATTTAAACGTCTCTCTTGTGGAGCTATGCTCTCCTCAACTAATCAATGCTTTAGATTTTGCAATTAATTAAATAAATTAATTTTTTAAAATAATTAATGTTTAGGTCTTACTTCCTTCATAGGTAATCAAGGTTTTAAATCTAGAATTCGAACTTGCTTTTATATTTACTGTAATAATGAGTGTAAGTCTTAAATTACGAAAAGTCTGTTCTAGAAAAACTTTATTGACCAAGATAATGGTTTATCTTGGCTAAAAAATAACCTGAAACTTAACAAATGTTTAGCTGTTTCTCTGATTTAAAAACATCTTTCATATATGAGCTTCGTACCCGATGAATCACCCTCTTCCTACCTTAAACTGGTCATTAAAAGTACGTTTCCAATGCAATCTACACCATGCTTTTTATGGATTCGCTTTATCGATTGTACACAGTACTAGTTCGTGTATACATGGACACTTTGTGTACTTTTTTTTCAGATAATGATATCAGTGCTGACTTTTCTCTCCAAACACAAACCCAACGAAGAGAGAGAAGCTCTCGCGACCATATCTATATGGGGTTATTAGCAAGTTCCACTGATATATGACCTCATCTTCTAAATGTTTGGCAGCAACAAAAAAAAAGCTTAAAATTGTTTTCTCACACGATAAGATCATCATAACCTATCCCAAGATGAAACATATGCAAATAATATTTATTAAGTCTATCAGAGTAGAATAAATACATGATTCCTTTGAGTGTTTAACATAAATATAAATTATAAATATTAGAAAATGTTCTAGCTCTATTAATTAATAGTTATGACACAAAAATATGTGAGTCAAAGTCCAAGATATCATAACTGTGTCACTCCAGTAAGTCCCCCCCCCTAGCAACTTCCATAGATAGATTAAAAATATCTCGCACCTGTTGATGTTATGTAGGCCATGAAAAGAAGAGGCTCCAAAAGAAACTAACAGGTGTGCAGCAGAGTTGATATCTAGATTTTGAACATTACTCATCGCTGAAATCAGAACGAACATTATCAGCAGATAAAAGAAAATGTTTTGCCGGCTGACTTCCATAAATCCAACACAACCTGAATGAGTCAATCGTTGAATGCTCAATAACCCCTCTTGGGAAATCCTTGACTGGTTTTATATTATCAGAGAACCTACGAACCGATTAGTATTTCGTATTGTGTGGCCAAATTAGCTCTTATCGAGGTGCAAAACTTTCTGGCTGTAAAACTCTAATGAATGTCATAACTAGCCGCTGATAAGATATGATTAGCATGGCAGGCATTTATCCAGGGTCCTCGGCCACAAGTTGAGTGGCAGGGCACTTTAAGTATTATTAATAATACTCTCGCACCGAACAATCGCAAAAATCGTTTTGATAATAATGCGCCAAAAACAATAGCAGTGCGGCCACAAAAAAAAAAAGCGCAGCAACACAAAAGCTCTAAACAAAAATAAAAGGCGAAATGCGTCACACCAAAATTGGAACGCATGGCTGGTCTGGGCTGAATCTAGGGAGGAGCGGGTGGTTCCTCTGGGCAGCCTATGGGAAATGCATACAAATAGCCCCAGTTTTAGCCACATTATATTTTGGTTTGCGGATCAGGTTATAATCATGAACATTACGAACGTGCCGATCATGTAAATGAAAGCCAAAATAAATTATATTCTAACCTTATGATCGGTAAATGATGATTATTTTTAGGATCGTGCCGATCGCTCAAGTCCAAATAATGTGATTTATTCGAGATGATGGATGGGGAAGTGCCACGGATGTTGTATAACCGATAATTGATCGGATGTGGGTATATATATTAATCTATAAGGCGATGAAACAATGCAAACTAAACATGCTTCTAATGGGATGTATTTATTTCTGTCTAGGGGTGGCAAAACATAAGATAAATCTATGATCTATGATCAGTAAACGAAATGATCTATTTAAAATACTTTTTAGATCCTCTTTTGATGATGGGTAAGTGTATAAATAAACCCATTTGCTATTATTAGATGATCATGAATAATTAATTAAAATGATAAAGTGATCAAATGCAATGATCTAAACTTGTTCTAACTGTGCTAGAATTTTCATTTTAATTTTCATATATTTTCTTATCTGGAACTTCACCTGGCGATGATGGCGCTGGACTGTTGCTCAAACTATCCGTGGACGGAAGTTTGGTCATGAGAACTTTCAGCGAAGGTCGCCGTTTGAATTTGAAATCGAATACTGAGGAGCAGTTAGCAGCACACACATATATACGGGGGGAGAAAGAGAAAGCGAGCAATATGTATATAGATATATATATATTATATATAGGATTATAGGCTTATAGATCTTAGGTCACTGGTACAGACAGCTTTACGAATATTACGCACACGACACTTAAGACACTGACAAATTGTACAAATAAGGTTCTTACCGAGATAGAAACCAAAGACACGGAATCTTAAGGATAGTCACACGTACACACACTTTAACATAATGACATATATCTAGAAAGTCGGACACAGTTATCTACACTGGGGGAAATATATACATTGAAAATGGAGAAAATAAATATCTTTAAGCAACGAAAGTTTTTAAGCAGAAATAATCAGGTCACACCAATATATATGGCTTTAATATCTGAGAATATCAGTTTTAAGATGTGTTAAAAAAACGTTTTTTTTTTTATTTTGTCAAAATTAAAGTAAATAAATTAATATCTTAACATCCTGTTAAGGCTAACAATCACTTTAAATTTCAAAAAGAAAGTGAAGTAATTTAGTTATCTTTCTGCTTATTTAATATATTATATTTTCCCCCTCAAGTTTTCAACTTATCACAGTTTAGACTGGGGAAATCTTTGACAAGGCTAAACCCCAATACACTTGATCCAATTGGGGGCGTGAGGATGGCTGGAGACAACGCCTTCAATGGGCGCACATCCATTACCATTACGGCCTTAATTATGGCCGCTCATCAATTGTCTGCTATCGGACATGGGAGCTCAGCACGCAGCTTAGCTGTGCCAAGGAACGTTGAGGAGCGCCATGATGGCGCCTGCCCGGCTGGCAGTAATTAAGATTGCGATGGCCGATGGCGATGCAGATGCCGATGGCGATGGCGATAGGATGCCCGGATTGCCCTGATTGATTTTAAATAAAGCGCCAGCGCCTAGCAGGCAATCAATTTACGCAATTAGAGCACGCCTCCGTTGTTCGAATAGTTCAAAGTTCAGTTCCAATTTCCGCTGCCCACAACATTTGCCATGCATGGCGAGAAACATTTTTGGAAATGGTGTTCAGATGAGTCTTGGAATATGAGCTTTGCTTGACTTTTATTCCTTGAACTATATAATTAGTCTGGTTAATATTACTGGTTGAAATTCTAAGGTTCCAACTGGAAGTGCTAATGGAATTAAATTTAATTTCATAGCCTTAGGGTAATTTTAAGACATTACTGTCAAAGTGCCTGTTAGCTAGCTGTCCGGAAAATTAAATGACCATTTAAGTTATCATAATTATTTCCCTATCCTCCGCCTTAAAATGTATCCAAACGAAAAAACATTGCTTTTCTTTGACAGTTGGCTCTTTGAAATAAGTTGTTATCTTGCCAAGCCGGTAAACATTTGACAGGGAGTCTGGGTTCCTGTAAATTATTTGACGTGTTTATACTATGTCTGAATTCTGTTACAGTTGTTAGAAAGTTTTAACAATGAATTTGTGTTTCTTTAAATGTTAGCTCTCACATTTAGAAGATACGACAACCTAATTTTCTTAACCGTGGCTTTATCTTACCGATATTTTTTACAGTAAGGGTAGAAACTTAGCTCAAAAGGACTTACTATAAGCTATTTTTAAAATGGTTAAATTAATTCTACAAAATTCAAATATAATAAATGTATTTGATAAATAGTGCTATTTTTTTTTTTCAGTGTCCTGACATTCCAGCAAACATGGTGGAGCTCGCGCACTACTCTTTGCGTGTGGCAGTTTGGTAAATTCGCGGCCAAAGGATGCCAGCTGATGCAAGACATTGCAACACAGCACAGCGTGAGTGCAATTTGAGTTGCCTGCCGCTGGGCTTGGCCAAGACTGACGTCACATTTGGGTCGCTGACATGGCGCCGCTCTAAATGACCCCCAACACAAACCCCTTATGACCCCGCCTCAAAAACTATATTTCGTTGCTTCTTTTTTACGTAATCCAATTACAATTTAGTTGGCCAGCAGCGTGTGAATGTGTATGTAGGGTCTTTGAAGAGTGACCTTATGGTGTGGACGTTTGGCCTGTCGGTCACTATATTTTATGAGGCCCCACATAACGACTTCAACAAGAAACTTCACTCAACTTAACTCAATAGGTGGGCAAGATATCAATACAACTGCTGTTACACAAAATACCACTCAACTTCCACCCTTTTGGTTACTAGCTAGTTTAACCCCTTTCTCCCTAATGTTTTATTTATCGGGCGGTAATTTGCCCAAAAGCATGCTATAAAATATTCATTGGAACACGCACACCTGCAAAGGGGAAAGCACACACAATCATGAGATTCGTTCAGTATGCAAATGCAGATGTTAATCGCATTAACCGGCTGTTTCTCTTCTTTACACCAAGAGAAAAATCAGAATATGATAGTTCTACATTTAATATTTCTTTAGTTTGCAAAATAATACATTTAAGATACCAACTATGACAAATAAATAAAGTATTTAACGTACTCTTCTACTCTAAATTCAAAAATACTTTCGAAAACAATATACAATACAATTTATAACATTTTATTTTATAATGTAATACTTATTCTAGTCATAAGACCGCCAACATAAACTTGTGCAGTACGAGATTAAGATAGTTTTCTGACGGCTTTATGCTTTTCAAAAGCAACATTATCTCACCAACATAAACTCGTGCCAAAATATGTCTCTAAAATATTGACAAGTTTATGTTGAAGGACTTCAGTCGTCTTCTCTTTTTAGCTGTGCAAAAAGACCACCAAAAAAGCTCACTGCACTTTCCTTGTCCATCTTCACTTTTGACCTTTTTGGAGAGGGAACAAATTTTCAGCGAAAACAAAAATAGAATTCAGCATCCTGCCCCCGCCCGGTGTGAGAACAAAGAATGGGTCCGACAACTGACCCCCTTTCCCAGCCACTTGCCTTCACCTCTTTTATGAGGGCTCACTTAAGGGCTGACGTGCAGCGAAATGAATGAAAGTGCAGTGCAGAGATTGCTGAAAGCTACTTTGTTTATTGTATCTGGCAGAATTTAAAATCCTCGTGTATTATTATTTTATTTAATTTTGTACTTAATAAATAACTACAAGTTTTTATTTTTGAAATAAAACTATTTCTTGCAAAGATCTTTAGAACACGGACTAAATAAACACTTTAGATTATTTGGATTTCCTTTAACTCCTTCATGTAAAAATAAACCTTTTCGGGACTAAACTGAATAGGTTTGAAATCTTGTTCTATGTTATATCCTCTATAGAAATCATTACGTCAAAGCCAGAGTTAGCCCAGAAATGAAGGCATCACACAAAATGCAGTCATGCATCGATTTTTACGGTATTTATTTTATACGCAATTTCCCTTTCACCTACATTATACCGCAGAGAGGCGATGGAAAAGCCCCCAGATTGTGTATGTGTGTACGTTCACAACTTTGTATTGGTTGCAGGTGCACCATTTTCGAATATTTATGCCATGCAGTTTTCCGCACAGTTTTCCATGCGGGTGCTATTTGTTCGCACCCACTGTGCCACCCACCCCGGGGCCGTAAAAATAAACAGCAAAAGACGTAGCGGCTACAATGGCAATTATACAGTCGCATACGCTCGGGAAAGTAAGTGCGAGTGTGAGTGCTTGTGCTGCTAATTGCGTATATATAAGATATAGGTTCCAGTAGGATGACCCTTATAAGAAAATACTTGTTAAGATTATAAAATATTTATTAAAGGAAGTAACTAATTCATTTAAAATAAGTCTCTGCAAGATTATTTAAAAAAATAAATATTAAATTGCCAAAAATATATCTCCAATATTAATTTAGTCTATATAATCTTCTGTTCCTGATAAAAAATCATAAAGATATTTTAAAGGTCACCATAATTACAGCCCCATTAGAGGCCCACCCTAATTTATACTGTCATATATGTACATATATGAAGATAGGGTTTATGTGAGCCGTTATGGATATATATATCTGAGCTATAAAGTAATACAGCATGCGAGTATAAATTTAATGACAGTTGCACGCCATAAAGCAAACAATAAACAACAGCTACAAAAACCACAAATGACATCGAAACAAATGGTGCGTGTGCAAAATCCCGCAAACCCACTATGAGGGTTACCTGGAAACCGTCCTCCACCACACCACACCCCAACCCATCCACCCCTCCTCTATGGATATTCCCAGGTCAACAAAAAGCAAAAGTCATCTGCAAATCGATAAAGCGCATAAAATATAGAAAATAAAACAACAAAATGTTGGCTGTCGGCATGTTTACTGTCTAATTGTTGTTCATTTTTAAAGACAGTTCAATGGATTTGTACTTATATTCAGGCTGGTGTAATCGCCAGGGAAATCATTTGACTGTAAATGACATGGGAAACCATATGCAAAATCCATAAAATGAATATCGTATTCCAAAAGTAATTGAAGTTGAATCTTATCTGACAACTAAAAGGCAAATATTATCTGACTGAAATACAAATTTAATCTCTACAACTATAATTGATGCCAAATCGGCTTTAGGTGTTCGTTTCATAGGGGAAAACTTTGCTAAAATTAGGAAAAATATTAAACCTCAAAGCAACAATATAAAAGATACAGAAAAAATACAAAGCAAACTATGTAATATAGCACTGCATTGAATAGCAGTTGAATTGGTCAGATATACTCAATGTTAGCAAGCGAAATGTGATCTCATCTCTGCTGTAAGTGAGTTAAATCAATTCAAATGAGTATTAAAAGCCTTTATATAGAGACAACCAGACGAACGTCGCATTTGGCATTCTTCTGATTTACTATGCTGTATACAATATGTTCGTATAATGTACACAAACATCAAAATGGAACGTCAAACATAAAAGTTTTTATTGAAGCTCAATTTTCAGATAAATATAGGACAACAAAATATGATCTCATCACGCTAGAGAGATTAGATATTACGAATTAAATTTTGTTTGGAAAACTTTCTAAATAAAACCAGAAAGCAAATAAAATAAAATGTGTTCCCTATAGGATATGTAGTACTTGATGGATTACCATATGAATGCAAAAGAATGCGGGTTAATTCAATTACTTGAATAATCTGCATAAATAACTTAATTACTCCATTAAACGATACGGACCGAGGCAGATGGGCATGAGCCAGGAAGCCCGCCTGCGGGAATTCGTTGCCTAGGAACCAGCTGTAAACACAAGCAAATCGACAAACCCTGGCTATATACGCACAGGTGCAAATGGCAAGCGCCAGTTAACCCCACGAAACCCCCAAAAATTTGTCAACTAGCTGGTAGCCTAGCAACCGGACCAGTCTAACAGCCAGACGGACAGACAAACAGAGACTATACTGACATGTATGTAAATCAATTAACACCAACACATCTCGCATGGATGAATGAGCCCGCAGAGCGGAAGCGCGCTAAATGCCGAACAAAAGCCGAGTGTTAAGCGATAACGTGGCCCCCGGGAAGGGAGCTGAGCGGTGTGGGGCGGAGTGGATTAGATGGCCGAGTGGTGGGGCGGGCGGAACTAGCCGGCAAGCGGCAGATGAGTGAACTGGAATTCTGAAATGTGAGTAGAGCCACTGCTGCCGCTTAATCAAAACACTCAAACCCCGGGAGCGGTATACGGAAATGAAAATCAAAACTAATAACTATACGTAAGCAAATCAGAATGTACAAATGCGGTCAAACCAAGAGCGTGGAGAACATATCTAGATATCAGAACTATATTCAAGTAATTTTACCTACTTCAATAATTAGTAAATTACTAAGGGTTGAGTTTTTTGATTCGATAGTTTCAATTTGTAAACTGCGGAAAATCTTATACAATATTTATAGCGAGAGTTTGCCTTAAGGGGTTATATACAGTTGTGATAGTCGAAAAAGTCGATTTTTTTTTATTGCATATTCTTAAAGTATATACTGTTGAGAATACTCTCACAAAAATTCATAACGGTCGGAGCATTAGAACCGAAGTTGTAGCTATTTATAGCGCACGACATGCACGGCGGCCAGAACAAACTTGAAACTTTAAACGCGATTATCTCAGAATCGTTTTTTTCGAAGTTACCTTTGCGGTGGACACGATTACTAAAAAACTATTAATCCGATCAACACCAAAATTTGACCACTTATTTATTATCTCAAAAACTAGTCCGTGAACGAAGGATTTGTAAGAATTTTGATTTAAAAAAAAATGGCGACGATTTTAACAAAAAATGTCCTTTTTAAGGGGTAAAATTTTCCGTTTTAATGCTCTAAAAAAGGAAGTTTTCAAAAAAATTAAAAATCCTTCGTTCACGGACTAGTTTTTGAGATAATAAATAAGTGGTCAAATTTTGGTGTTGATCGGATTAATAGTTTTTTAGTAATCGTGTCCACCGCAAAGGTAACTTCGAAAAAAACGATTCTGAGATAATCGCGTTTAAAGTTTCAAGTTTGTTCTGGCCGCCGTGCATGTGGTGCGCTATAAATAGCTACAACTTCGGTTCTAATGCTCCGATCGTTATGAATTTTTGTGAGAGTATTCTCAACAGTATATACTTTAAGAATATGCAATAAAAAAAATCGACTTTTTCGACTATCACAACTGTATATAACCCCTTAACCGAAAATGAAGTGTCTAATTCGCAGTTTTGTTTAAATAATGGAATTTTTTACGTTTAAATTTGTTAATAAATATTTTAAAGTTTTCAATTTGCTAATAAGGAGAGCGCTCTGTAAAATTAAAACAATTTATTCTTTAAATAAAATCAATATTGTATCTAAAAATATTTACAAATTGTATATTATATTATTAAAAATTATATTTAACTTGATGACGTTCACTGTGCTTCATGGGTTCTTTCATTTGAAATTTATCGTTTAACTTAAAATAATGATTGATTTGTATATATAAAAAAAAACACGATAAGAGCTGTCAGAAACCAAAGGAATTTCTAAATAATTTCAATGACTAGTTTTTATTGAACTGTATATAAATAAACAATAAAAACATCTTTAAAAAGAAAATCACACAACACAATAAATAAAAAATTACAATACTAAAACTAACTTTATCAAAAATGTAACTTTTTACTGCTGTTAATTCCCATCAAATTTTAGGTTTTGTTCATTTCTGTGTGCTATTATTTTGACCTCTGTTGTGTTGGCAACTTTGTGTGTTTGTGATAATCGTTTGCATTAGATTCGAGTGCGAGTGATCGAATCAACAATAGTGAGGGGGGAGGAGCGGGACAGTGCGATTTAATGTGTGTGTGACTGAGTGACATTGGCTGAAAGAGAGAGAGAACACGAAATGGAACGCAAACGACATCGAAACAGAAGAGGTTGGGGTAAAATGGGAGGGGGGGTTAGGCAGAATGGACGGACGACTCACCTGTGGACTGACGCAGTCCGGCACTGTTGGGCGGCGTAATGCTGATCCCGCTGACACTGCTAGCGGCGCCAACACTGACGCCCAGCGATTGATTCGATGCGCCCATGGACAAGGCAGAGGGGGTCACAGCACCGCCACCGCCTGGTGTGGGAATGGGTGCCTGCAGCTGAAGGTGACTGCCCGTGGGAACGCTGCTCGATTGTTGTTGTTGCGGCGTCCCAGGCATTGAATGCGAATGCGTGGCAGAGGTGGAGCTACTGGGGGCCAATGAGTCACCACCGGCCGCCTGCTGGTGTTTGGCACTATTTATCCGAATGGGGGTGCTGCTACCGGTCCCAGCCACTGGCGAGGCATTACCGGGGTTATTAGGCAAATTAACCGTTGCCGGGATACTGCTAGCGGGCGTACTGGACATTGCCGATTGCATTGCTGGAAAGTCTCTGGTTTATTGCACAAAATTTGGTCTCTTCACTGCTTCAATGTTGCTCCTGCTGCTGCTTCGCCTTTATTCGTCTTCCCTTTTGGCCCTTTCTATCAATGAGGCATTGCTCCAGTTGTCGTTCTCACAAATACACATGCATGCATACTCCCCACACACTCACACACACACACACGCGGCCGGACGCAGGCCAATTATTGATTTTGTTTCACCCGCTCAAGAGTTTTTCCTTCCTTAGCCTTAAATTTTATGTTTTGCACTGCAATTTTGTGTGTTCTTTATCTCGTGTTGACTACGTCGACCTTTTTTGTTATTGCCAAGAGAAACAAAATTGGAAAAATAGGAATCAAATCGAAGCGCGTGTGTGTGAGTGTGTGATTAGAAGCGTTTTCTTCAGCTCAGCTGGTCAGCAGGAGAAGTGGATCGAAACGAACGGCGGCCACGTAACACCGTTTATTCTCCTTTCTTTTTATATTTTTTATGTTTTTGGTACCAATTAGTGGCAGCGTTAAAGAAAAGTGCTGCTTCTAGCACTAGTACGATTCTCTCTCACACACACACACGTACACTAGCGCACGTTTTGTCACACACTTTTTCGTTTCTCGCTTTTGGTCGCGGTTTTCGGCTATCGCTCTCTTTTGCTCGCTTTGTCCGGCGTCGTTGGCGTTTCGCGTCCAACTGAAGCTGCAGTCGTCGTCCGTATTCCAAAAAGCTAAACTTGTTTCTTTTCGCTTTCGTATGAGCTCATCCACCACCACTGCGAACCCCCGCAAGCACCGCCCCCCACACCACCCATCGAGCCGACGAACAGGCGGCGGGTATTATTTTCATGACGCGGGCCAAGACGCTGGAAGTGTAAAAGCGAAACAAGCTTTTCATGTTTTTTTTTTTTTGTTTAGTTGTTTTTGGGGAGGATTACAAGCGCCGCGTCAGCTGTGCGTATGCTCTCCAGCCCTGGTCTCTGGTTTCCCAGGGCGGCAGGGCAGCTCAGGGCCAGTGTTGCGCAAAGTAACAGAAACTGTTAACTGCGATTTAAAAAAAGTTAACATTACAGTGAGCTCCCGAAAGGTGTACCTGGCTATAGCATAATATAAATTAATGGCATTATTGCCCTTTGAAAGCGTCTAAAAAATACAACTGGCAAGGCTTTGGGTTTTTTAATATTTATTTATAAACATTGACTGAACACAAAAGGCTCATAACCGAATTTCATTTTTTTTTTGTCAGCAACGTGATTATGTTAACTTATGACTGTTGTTATGGAACGCACAATGTACAATGTGTAAATATATCAGTAAGGATATCGAAAATGATGGATTAAATCTAAACATTTTGAAGAAAACAATCTCGGCAGACACCTCATATCTATCAGATCTCCGTCAGATCCCCGCCGCTGTGAATAACCGACGTCACACGCCATGTCATCGCCTCGTAGAGTAGCTCAATCTTGTCCACCATCTCCTGATCGTTGTGCCACACGTCGTACAGGACAGCATGGAACTCCTGGACGTTCTTGGGGGCCTGATTCTGGATCCTCGGCTGGATGATGGCCATTAGCTGCTCCAGGAGATTGAGGTCACTGCAATCGTTGCCCCCGGGTCCCATCAGGGTATCCAGAAAGATCTCCTTCGGCGGTGATCCACCCTCAAACTTGAGGTCGTCCATGTTGAATATGTTGCGCCAATCACGCACTGTCCAATCCTGATGGGCAGTGGCCCAGGCTACCCTCTTTCTTCTTGTTTCCAGGCTGAGACTAGGCGGTGCATCTTGATCCTTGGCTGGCAATCGACTCTCTTGGAACTGCTTGCTGCGAATCTCGCTGATCCGGCGCTGCAGTGTGCGGCGGCTCACCTCGATGCCATGACGGGCCATCAGCTCCCGCTGGACATCGATGGAGGTGTAGTTGGGATGATCGATGAGCATCTTTTCCACAATCTGTCTGTTCTCCAGGATCTTGGGTCTGCCCACCTCACGTTTCTTCTCCTCCTCCGGTGAACGCTGCGGGATCTTCGGCGTCTGCGGCGTCTTTGGTTTTTGAGGCAGCCTCAGAGTGGCTGTCTTGCCCTCCAGGAGCTCACACTCTCGGATGCAGCTCACCACGCTCTCCACATCGCACTCCAGGATCTGGGCAATCTCCTGGCAGCTATTCGAGTTCTTCAGAGCCTTCACAAGAGTACGCACCTCGGCACCTAGGACCATTTTTACTGCTTGAACGTCACAAATCAAATGCTGGTTTTGGCAACCCAAAAGACGGTTTATATACACAAGTATTTATGTGTGTGCCTGTCAGGTAGGCTAGGGTAAAGTTTCGATCCCGATTTTGGCGTAGTCTGCCTGCGGACTGGCTGGATTTTATGGCGAGCAAGCTGCAACTGAATTACCCGGGATTACGACGGCGTCAGGTAAATATCGCTTCTAATGGCGCCGTCCCTTTCTGTTGCTTCCCCTTGTTATTCGCAGTTGGCAGGGTTGCCAACCCCTACGAAAGCAGCTGTGCTAAGGGCGGAATGTTCAAGTCGCGAGCAGAGAAGATCCTGCAGTGAATGCCATCAGATTAACCCTTAATTCAATTAACAAAAAAAGTTTCCTGATGGCAAATCTCAAAGGGTTTTATGCAGAAGGCGTAAAAGTTTTGTAATCTTTAAAGATTAGTTTCTTTAATTTAAAAAGACTTGACCGGTTTAGCGTCTATAAAAAACATAAATATATTCGTAATATATCGATTTTCTTAAAGTATGATGATTTTTATTGATTTTAATTGTTTAAAATCTCAAAAAAACAATATTATCTTCAAAAACATTAATTTTGAACGAAGGAAAACAAAAATTCTGATAGCGATTTAGACCTTTATGAATTTGTTTTTGTAGTAAAATCAAGTTAAACTGTTTTCTGAAACTGAACAACAAACACTTGCTGGTTTACGGTAACCATTACAACTTTTTTTTTTGCTAAAGTTATAAATAAATATATCGTGCTGTGCGATTTTTGATTTATCTCAAGCTCAACCAAAAACCAAGCTCAATGAGAACATATATTTTTAATAATGTTATATAGAACTTCGTTATTCATTAATTTTCCAGTTAAATTACCAACAATTTATCAAAAGCTCAACCAAGAACTGCGATCTGAAAATATATAGAATGCTGCGGGAAACCAAATGCCAAGTCAATTTTAATTAAGACCAAGTTGTCTTGTTTTAAACATGCAATTTAATAGTTGATTTCATTTTGATGCTTTTGTAGAATTACAAAAATAAATATAAAAAACTTGTACATATGTGTGTTAGTTATCTTTCTCTACAGTAGGAAAATGCAGTACACCCTTGTTATACTGTTAAAAATATATATGTCAGATGCTTTTGTTTGTCTTTTATGCTGTGTTAGTTTGCTCCTTTCCACGTGTTTCACCTTCAAAGTCGTGAAACCTTCAACTAAACATGTAAATTTTCAAGGTGCACAATGATTTGGAATTGCAGAATACCATCAAGATCGAATTTTGAGTAATTTTAGCTTAAGCTCGCTAGGGTGGCTCAGCCGTCGAGGCAGCTGATTGAACTGATAGACAGATATTAAAGCACATAATCGGGGAAGAGGGGGAGGGAGAAGGCAACCGAATAAGCCACTTATTCTATGTGGGGATGCGGAAACCGCCGTAGCATACCGATCAGAATCGTATAATTAAATAAATAACGCTAAAGTACGCCTAATTGGTTTAGATCCATGTGCTAGGTTTTGATTTGTGTGTTTGTTGTTTCTGTTTTGTTTTCCCCACCGCTTCTTTTGAGTGTTTTTGTTTGCGTGGGTGGAGTGTGGGGGGACTGGGGGGAATCGACGAAAGTGTGGGATCAGGCTGCCCCGTAGTTAGTCATCCAGATCGATATCGGAGTCATCCGAGTCGTAGCCGCCGCGTATTGTCTTCTGTGGGCGGTTCATGAACGGCTTTCGCTTCACATCTGGCGGCTGCATCAGATCCCCCTTGTAATCAATAGCTCCCGAGTGGGCGATGCGCCACTCCAGCATCTCTGTGGCAAAGTCATCGCAGTTCCCGAGGTCGGTGAAGCCAACGATAAAGTCCTTGGTCTTGCTATCCTTCACCAGGGCAATGGTGGGTATCACCTTGATGCGCAGCCTCTGGGTGAGGAATGGTGTTTTCTCCGCATTCACCTTACAGAACTTGGCCTCCACGTGCTTGGCCGCGAGGATCTTCAGGTGCATGTCCACGATCTTGCAGCGTTCGGTGCTGTCGCGATAGAAGTGACACACAATGTTGGGTGATTTTTTGGACATCTCGAAGAACTCCTTTTCGTCGGCCAGCTCTGAGTAGGTGCCGTGGCCCTACAGGAAAGATTTAGCGTATTAGTTTATTATTACTTATTGGCCAGTGACCACCTACGTTTCTGAGCCACTCTTGCTTCTTGTTGTTGAGCTCCTTCATCTCGCGGAGACGCTGCTCCCTCAAGACCTTCAGGTCGTCTGAGTCGAGGTTGTCGAATCGGTCCAATTGCTGGTCCAGCTGCTGCTCTATGGTCTTGGCCGCAGTGAACAGTTGGTTCTCCAGAAGGTTCGCCATGTCTGAGTTGTCCACTTGCCTGCTATGCTCTTCTCTGTTACTGCTCTGCTCCTCGCTTGTTTTCTTCACTCTGTTTTTCCGTTCGCACTCTACTCTGCGTGTGGTACCGACAGTGTGTTGGAGCCAGGTGCGTGTGTATGTGGGTTCCGGCATAAATGGAAAGGCGTAGCCATGGAGCCGAGCCGCCGCAGATGCGTCATGTTTTGGGGAAAATTCAGTTAAGTAAGCATTGGAACCACGAGTTTGGTGCGCGTATTGGTCGAAGCGGTCATAAATCGATTATTTGAAGGGTACTCACGTTGGTGTTTCACTTATTTCATTGATTTTGCTGAATTTAAGTTTATTTATACGTAGGGTTGTTGTTGACTAGGGTTGTAGAGTTGCACAATTATCAATATCGATATTATCGATGTTTGAAAACCAACTAGATGTATCGGATTTGGTCAAAAAATGTATTGAAACATTACACAGGTGTATTTTCCTTTTTGCATTTAATTATTACGTATTTAATGATTTCTCATTGTTTGATATCTTTTTTTAAGCAAGCGTGACCGCGGAGACGGAACTTCCCCTGGGTTGTTTATTTTGATACTCATGGTCACACTAGGGGTTTACTTTTGAAAATTTAAGCAAGTTTCCAAGAAACTGCTATTTTACTTTTTTATTTATATTTTAAATTATTTAATATATTACAAAATTTTTTACTTTTCCAGCTAGAAACACTTAAAAAGATACCTGGTAAAAGCAAGAAATTCTCTCCACAGCTATCACCACCGGCTTTGGAGAGTTCCGCCGATGTTTCGCGCATTTCCAAATATCGATAGACACGACATCGAAGTTCTTGCATCTCTAAGGTTTTTGATTGTTTGTATCGGCGTCGGTTCGAAAATTTTCTGCAATTAATATTGTCGTGTGTTGGAACAATTTTAAAGTGCTGTTGTCTTCATTAAACAAATTAGAAGGTTGGTGTGACTCCAATAATAATAATAATAATAATAATAATAAGAATATTGCAATCAAAGAGTTTTGTGAACTGGCAAGGATGCGCAAGGGTCCTTTGTTGCGGTAGGATGTGGAAGCTGGTGTAGATAAATTTTTGCGCGTGCAAGCGAGAACCGGGCGCCTTCGAAATGGCGAAAAGTGTGCAATCTCTAAAGCAGCAAAAAGTAGCTGCTGGGTGCGTTGTAAAAGGCCCCCATTGCAGGGTTTCTGCAGCTCCCCCCAGTTCCACGAGTTTAATTGTTTTCTCCAACTGCATTATCGGTAATTGCTGCGACTGCAGCAGCCGTGCCGCCATTTTAAAAAACAAACGCGGTATCTGAGCCTCAGACAATTGCCTGGTACAGTGGTGGCCAAGCATAAAGGTCAGGGTCGGCAAATAAACTGGCACGGTCAAAGAATACTATTTTTTAATTAAACCGGAAGAGTTTTTATATTAAAACAGATTAAGATTTATGCATATTATTTTGTAAAAAAATAAATTAATATGTAATGTGGCTTGGCTGGCTTTGTGATGTGTGCAATGTTTTGGCGCGCACTGTAAGCCGCCTTTTCATACCCACACTCACACATGCAGCCAGACGAGGTTTGTGGACATGTGTGAGTCGAGTGTTCTGCTTTTTTTATATTCGAAAAAGGAAGGGCCGCTGTCTTGTGTTTATGTTATGGTTTTTTTTTTCTGCCGATGCGATCGCGACTCGTTGAAATTGATTAACTAGAGTTGGGGCAAACAGAGCCTCGCCATTAAGCACTCGAGCATATAAACGGCCATTTATGCTCGGGTTTAATCAACTCCGCGAAGCGAAGAATGTCAAAACAAACGGCGAAATAAGAGAATAACAATCAAAGAGGGCTTGCCGCATAACTGCATTTTACTGCCTATAAATACATGCACATATACATACATACATGCATATCTGTCGCTGTCATGTGTGTTGGTGCAATTGCATTTATTATTTTTGTTTTATTTTTCCCTGCTGCATTTTCATTTTGTTTTATGCTTTTTCGGTCGGGTTTGCAGCATCGTTCGTTGTCCGCAATTTTTCGCATTCGCATTTCCACTTTCTAAAAAGAAAACTCAAGACCTCGCTAGGCGCTGCTTGATGCCATTTCTTTCTAAACAGCGCCCCCTTCCCTTTGCCTCCCTCCCATCCCACTACGTAAATAAATGCACCTGGGTGCAACTAGTTTTGATACCCTTACTGTGGGGTATATCCTTAATTGACTATAATCAGTTAATAGTACATTTTGTAATTGTTTTTTTTTTCCGGTAATTTTTTATCTATACAGAATGATATATGAAAAATAATATAAAATAATACAAGAAAAATAACAATTAAAAAAAAAATAATAATTTAAAAGAGTAAACTTTCTGGCTAAAAAAATTAATCCATTTTGATAATTGTTTCTAATTTAAAATTATATAAAATAAATATAATAACAAATCTTGATTAAAGGATTTTCCCTTAATTTGTATTTTTACATCACAGCATTTATGGAATATCTTGCAGCCATTTTAAAGTATCACTTCTGGTTTATCACTTTCAGTTTCGGAAAACAAATATTTACGGTTCTTTTCTCACCTTTCCCTATATAAAAAATAGCCTGTCGCACAAGAATCCTCATTTTGTAACATCAAGTTCAGAAACCGGTTCTGAAAAGGATGTCCATGAATATGTAACCTTTTTAAATCGTGAGAATTCAACTATGTACGTTTTTAGCCACAAATAGGCCCCTTTCTTGTAGTTCATTTACTTTATTTTGTATAAAATTGATGTTTGTTATAGTAACTCATAATATTTAGGAAACCTTATAACAACAATAAGGGTATTTAATGCCTCGATTTTTCTCCTGTTCCATTTTCGCATTTATCTGGCATCGAGCTGTCTGTCTTGTAGGCCGGCCCATGGCAAGAAATTTCCTCATGATTTCTTGCTTTTTCCTTAGCCTTCGTTTTAGTAGCTTCTTTTCATTCGCTGCTGTCGTTGCTTGCGAGTTATTTCACTTGCTAACAAAAAAGTAAAAACATTGCTATTATGCAGCTTTTTCCTTGCGTGTTGGCTTGTATTTGCAAAGTTTGTTGTGTTTCACTTTGTTTTGAATGCATTTAATAGAACGGAAGCCAGTTAAAACATTATTGGTAGGGGAGAGAGGAATCAGTCAGGCAGAACCAAAAAATATAATGAGGGGAAAAAAAACGGAAAATGCCACCCTAAAAATACAGAACACAAAGAGCGTTACGCCTAAATTTAGACATTTTAAAGTATATATTAGCATATGTCGCCGTGTGATTGGTCATTCCAGGTAATTAACGCATCCTAATCTGCGCACATATGTCCGCCATAAATGGCAGCTGCCATGGCAGGTAGATTCATATTCCTTTCGCTGATTACTCTTAACGAGTACCTGCACTGATCCTGATCCTTCGCCAAAGTACTTAAGTGCATCGCAGACAGCATAGCCTGTCAAGTTAAGCCTCAGCTGTGAAACCGTCAAGACGTGATAAAACGCCAAGCGTCTCCCAGATTAACAACACTCTCCAGATAGTGAAGAAACCCAGAGACCTACTGTGATTAAAAAACTCTCATACTAAGCAGTGTAACTGTGCTAGGTGGGTTTTGGTTTGAGGTTTCACTTGAGAGCCGGTCTCGACCGCATTCCTCGTGTAAACAAACCGCAATATTCTCACTCGCATGGCGTGTTTACATTCATTTTCGTTTTCAGTGCAAACACAACTCAATCTCGTCTAATACAGTTTTCCCTTTTTTTGTGTCCCTTGCAGAGATCTTGATTTACGCGCCAGGATATCAATAGAAACCAATGTTAAGCAAAATGGCGCAACCGAACAATGTTGGCAGTGGCGGAGGTGGATCTGGAGCCGGTTCGGGCTCAGGACGTCGTCTTCCCCTCTCTTTGAGCGGTGGCAGCCAGGTGTCTCGCCTGCAGCAATCGTCAACTGGCAGCAACGGTCGTTCCAACAGCCCCCAGAATGGCAACAACAAAAAGATAACTGAATCTTTTATTCCATTGAAGAAGACAACACAACAGCGCACCACGTCCACCGGCTCCTCCTCCTCCGCCTCCTCCTCGAACAGAGAAGACGACAAGAAGAGCCAGAATGGTGCCACAAAATCCACTAATGGCAAGGAGAAAGCGCCACAGAATGGCAGCTCATCTGCAAACAAAGATCAGAAGGAGTCAAAGTCAAAGGACAAGGTTCCAGAAAAGAAGGAAAAGGAGCCTGTGGTAGCCGAAAAGCAGCCGGAGGGCGAAATTGGAAATAAGGATAAGGTAGTCGCCGAACAAAAGGAAATCCAATCGGAGGCGAAGAAGGAAGTTACTACCGAAGCTACCACAGCCGCTGCTCAACCAGATCCTGATGTTATTATCCTGGATAATGATGATGTCGCTCCAGAGCCCACCACTCCCTCAAAGGATCGGAAATCCGCACGAAAGGCGGCCAGCCAACAGAAGTCGCCGGTTAGCAAGACAACCCCCACATCGTCGCCGGTTAGTAAGGCGACCCCCTCATCGTCGCCGGCACAAAAGAAACAAACTGAGGTTAAGGAAGTTTCACAACCGGCACCGCAGGAGGATGTGGAGATGGAGCCACTGACTGTGGATGCTTCACCCATACGCAGTGCCAGCGGTAATCTTAATGCCCTGCCGGCTGCCACATCCACGCCGGGCCGCAGCCTCTTCGGTTTCCGCAGCAGCAGCAAGCAGAGCACCGAGGTGGAGCTGGCCACCCAGACCTCCAGCTCGCCGGCCGGAACTCCGGCCCGCACTTTCGCCCAGATAAGCGGCAGGCGCAGCATACGGCCCATCAACGCGCTGACACCCTCCAAGGTGGGCAGCTACAGGTGCACCAACAGCGACCTAGACACATCGAGCTGCACAAACGCCAGCATGAATGCTACAGTGGGTTCCGAGATACCCAACAGCTCATCGTTCTCGTTCTCGTTCTTTGGACGCGGGCGCAAGCGTGAACGCACTCCCCCGGCAGTTTCGGGTTCTCAGTCGACCAATGATTTGGCCCAGGATGTGGAGATGTCGCCACCGAAACGGGCCCGCTTCGAGATGTTTAGCCTTCGGAACCTGGCCTCGCCCTTCAGCCTGCTGAGCTCAAAATTCTCCAAGGCGACAATCGCTACTCCGACACGCCTCCGTCTGGAGCAGACTCCGCCGGGTGATGATGACGGCGAGGTACAGAACGTGTCCCACATCGTAGTCGAGGAAGACAATCAGCTCAACTCATCTTCAGTTAGCGTGCCAGAGGCCCAAGACGAGGAGCAGGCCAACAAGGACTTGACCGTTGGCCAGGAGGCCGGTCTGGAGACGCCGAAGAAGGGCGGCTCGCCTGCTAAAGAAATTCCCGCCGAGAAGGATGTCGCCGAGGGCAAAGATATCGCTGAGCAGTCCGCAGATGGCGAGAATATCCCACCGCAGGTGGCGGTGGCCGAAGTCGAGGCCCGATCCCGCTGCTCAATAATGTAAAGCAAACAAAGCAAATATGATAAACCCCCTATAGTTGATAAGCTTATGTCTTCTCTACGTATCCGTGCGCTGTTCTTTTTTTGTAATTTGTGTTCAGACGTAAATTTACATGTTAAGGAAGTGGTGTCGCCGCGAACCAATTTAAAAGACGGGCCTGGCTAGATCACATTTTCCGTTAAGAAAATTCTCAGCCAGGTCTGCGCTTCACTTATTCAGGGCCGGCATTCCTCGCTGAATGGCTGTCCACTCCACGCAGTCATCCACCGACGAATGAAGAGCTCTGTAGGCCAGAAAGTACCCTGACAAATTGGGTACCAAAAACGAAAAAAAAAACACACACACATTTAAAACCATTTCTATAGCCGTAATCTGTGTAAGAAGGAAAATGTTTTATTTACCATAACATATTTTTATGAAAGTCTCATCTTTTCGACAAGAGGATATACTTATAAGATACAAAAGATACATATGCAATAGGCTATATTTGATTTATAAAAATGTAACACATATTTCATAAATAAAGTGCATTTTTGAAAAAAGTTGGATTTATTGTTTACAGATACTTGGGTGAACTAAAGTCTAGCTGTTTCATTTGAATAAAAGTGTATTTTAAACGATTTTAAAATCTTTTTTAAATAAGTTTAACGTAACTAGATTAAAACATTCAGTTTTAAATCATGTGATATTGATTTTACATTGATTATTTTTTTTTATGATCATCAAAAATTATGTAAATTGAGTTATAAAAATCAATGATAATAATTATTTTTTATAAAAATTATTAAAATTATGACCTAATCATTATTTAAATAAATAATAAATAAAATAAAACAAATAACAAAGACAAATTAAAAAAAAGGAATAAAATAAAAAATAATCATTATTATTACTATTATTATTCATTTTTAATTTTTTTCAAAAATAATTATTAATTATTTTGATCAATTGTCATTGATTTTTATAATATTACTCAATTTTAATCATTATTATTGATGCATATCATAAAAATTCGAAATATGAAACACATGCCGGATATAGATTATCGAAAAGGAGTTCTAGGATATTATCCTTTTTATTTTAAGTTGATTCTAAGTGCTTGATTTTTTTATTCAAAAATGTTTCCGATATTCATTATTTACGCTCCTTGATTAAAACTATTTAAAACGTTACATTTTGTAAAAACAATAAAAAGGCAAGTGCTCGTTACTTAACCACAAATTAAGAAATTGAAGAAGCTGATTAGACATAATAAACAGAAAATAAATTACCAGTTAAATTGTGTGACAGCGGATTTTAGAAAGAAAATTAGTCCCTTTGCTTGCGCTGTAACTGTGATATTTTTTCTCGGTCACCGATTTTAAAATTTATTGTACAGGTCAGTGTACTTAGAGCCGGTTTCCTAGATTCCTAGACATCCTGTGAAATCTTAAGGCCCGGAAAGGACCTCAGATTAAAGATATTCAAATGACGAGGAAGTGTGCGCTGCTTCTTTCGTATGGGGAAAAATTGATAAGGAGGGTAGGGAATTTATTATCTATACAATAACATTATCTGGTGATTTCATTTTCTGATGAAACAGTAGATTGCTATTAGTCACATTTACAAAGAGTCCGATTTTGTGGAATTGGTAAACTGACAATTATTCGTAACTTTAACTAAGGTCATGCAAGTTGGCTTAGATTTTATAAAACAAAAATACAAATTTACAAATGATGAATCGTTTAAAACTAATCGCGTGAAAAAAAATTCATAAAAAATACAAAAAAATGGGAATTTGGCATGCCAGTGTGCCAACAGTGTTAGAAATTATCATAAGGCCTGCAGTATTATTCTAGTATTTCCGTTTGTTGGCTTTTTTTCAGCGTGCGGTCACACCAGCCGAGTTGTTCGCAGCAAAAAAAAAAAAGAGAGATTTCTCGGATTAGATGAGATACCAACGAAAAAATTATTAGTCAAGTGTCCCGGGAAGCAACGCCACTCCGAAACCGCTCCACGCCAGGCCACTCCACTCCATTCCGGTCCAGTCCAGTCCCAGTCCAGCAGCGAGTAGAGAAGAACTCCTCCTCCTCCTCCTCCTCCGACAGCAGAGCCCAAGAGCCACGACCGAAGAGGAGGGCAGAGCAAAAAGAGCGAACAACGAAGTGTGAAGAAGCAGCGCCAGCATGTCCTGGACGGAGAAAGTGGACCCGGAGCTGATCTTCACCAAGCAGGAGCGCATCGGCAAGGGCTCCTTCGGCGAGGTGTTCAAGGGCATCGATAACCGCACCCAGCAGGTGGTGGCTATCAAGATCATTGATTTGGAGGAGGCCGAAGATGAGATCGACGATATCCAGCAGGAGATCATGGTGCTGTCGCAGTGCGACTCGCCCTATGTCACCAAGTACTATGGCAGCTTCCTCAAGGGCACCAAGCTCTGGATCATCATGGAGTACCTGGGCGGCGGCTCCGCATTGGACCTGATGAAGGCTGGCAGCTTTGAGGAGATGCACATCGGGATCATTCTGCGCGAAGTGCTCAAGGGTCTGGACTACCTGCACTCGGAGCGCAAGCTGCATCGCGACATCAAGGCGGCCAACGTGCTGCTCAGCGAGCAGGGCGACGTTAAGCTGGCGGACTTTGGAGTCGCCGGCCAACTGACTAACACCACCTCCAAACGGAACACGTTCGTGGGCACGCCCTTCTGGATGGCGCCGGAGGTGATTAAGCAATCGCAGTACGATGCCAAGGCGGACATCTGGTCGCTGGGCATCACGGCCATTGAGCTGGCCAAGGGCGAGCCACCCAATTCGGAGCTGCATCCGATGCGCGTCCTCTTCCTCATCCCCAAGAACAATCCGCCCCAGTTGACGGGCAACTATACCAAGTCGTTCAAGGACTTTGTGGAGGCCTGCCTGAACAAGGACCCGGAGAACAGGCCCACGGCCAAGGAGCTACTCAAGTACCCGTTCATCAAGAAGGCCAAGAAGAACGCCTACCTGATTGACCTGATCGACCGCTTCAAGAAGTGGAAGGTGTCCAAGGGCGATGAAAGCGAAACGGAGTCGGAAAATTCCGACTCGGACTCCGATGCCAAGCAGGGCGGCAGCAGCCAGGACGAGCCCTGGATCATGACCGTCAAGGGGCTGCATATTAATAGCGCTCCGCGGGCGGGCGTCAATAGCTTCCAGCTGCAGGAGCACGAGTTGACCATGCAGAAACTAATGCAGACCACACATTCGCCTGCAGGTCCGGCCACCTCCGCCTCTGCCTCCGCCGCCGCTAACGTAGCCGCTTCCCCTTCCGCCTCGGTGTCCGCCATAGCGGCATCCGCATCCTCCGTGTCCGTGATCACAGCTAGCGAGGTTGTGGCTACCGCATCTTCGTCCGCCCTGCCCCCCCAAGCCAGCCACAACCACAACAACATCAACAGCAGCAGCAGCAGCAACAACAATAACAACAACAATAACAATAATAGCCACAACAGCAACATGAGCAACAAGCACGCCACCACCACCATGCTGAACGCAGCTCCTCTGCCGAGCGCCGTGACCAGCTCCTCGTCGGCCAGCGAGCTGCAGCAGAAGCGCTCAAGTTCCAAGCCGGAGCTGCGTCAGTCGCGCTCAGCGGGACCGCTGGATCAAGTGGAGGATCGTCGCGCCTCCCTGGGCCTGCCCCTGCAGTCGTCGGCTTCGAACCAGTCGCAGGCCGAGCAGCAGCAGCAGCGTCGCAGCAGCCAACGTGAATCATTCCATTCGACAAACGCCGCCGTGGCCGCGGCCGGCAGCAGTGGTGGTGGTGGTGGTGGACACAGGGAGAGCCACAGGGACAGGGACAACCACAGCCACAACAGTAACAGCCACAGCCACGAGGAGCTGGTGGTCAGCAACCATGGGAACCACGCCAAGCAGGCGTCGGCGGGACAACGCCTTATGCAGACGAACAGTGCCTGTTTGAACAACTTCCTCTTCCCGGTGCTGACCGACATTCAGCGCAAGTATTCCGGTGGCGGCGGAGCCGGTGGTCCCGGACGTAACCTGGGCGTTGGCAGCGACATCGGAGACCTGAAGTCTGTGTTCGAGCTGGCCGAGCGCTCCAGTCCCGGCGTGAGCGACCTGTTCATGAAGGAGCTGATCCACATGCTGGTGCCGGGCTACTCGGAGACCCGCATCAACACGATCATGGACCGCGCCATACGCAATCGCAAGTAGTAGGTGGCAGCCGTTGACGCCGCCGCAGACCAGAAGTAGCCTCTATTCCGATTCCAAGCAACAAACCTACTATATACTATATACACCATTAACGACGAGACCGAGACGCGAACTTAAAACAAGCAGGAGAAGCCGAAAAAACACATATTCCGACATTTAGTGGCCAACGGAGGAGCGGTGTAGCGGGAGCGAGATGTACATGTATTTTCAATTGAACAGTTATTTAAGCATACAATATGTATTCGTTTGTTTATCTGCAATATTAATCTAATGTAAAACATATATGACTTCAGAATAAAAAGCCCACGAAAATTACAACATTGGAATTTGGCGCGTACTGAGTACTTGGCCACTTGGCGATTCGATCTGGCAACACTGATAAGATATACAGGGGGTGTCAAAAGTATGTACACGAGCTTTGCAGCCCAGCAAATTCTTTTAGTTGTTATTCTTTTTGTTGTTGGCCAATTTTCCTGAATTTTATTTAATCGCGTAGCTTGATCTTTGGTTTTTTTTTCTTTTCTTTAAGCCCCTCTAATAAATAATAAATAAATAATAATAAATTTTTAAATAATATCATGACCCGCTCTCGAAATACTAAAAGTATGCCATCTGGCAACGCCACTCTACATTCCAGCATTTTTGGTATTTTTTTGGCGCTTTGTCAACGGGCACACTGAACGATCAACAAAACAGCCATTTTGCATTTTAATTCTCTTGGATGTCTTTTTTTTCGGTCCCCAACGCATTGGACAGAATAATAAACGCGGTGGATAACAGATAATGCTTTTGACATGTCGCGGGCACCTTTAATGGATGAGGAAGGTCTGGAGACGCTGGTCTACCACCGCTCCAAGCAGTGGTCCAGTCTGATGACGGTAAGCTTATCCGCAGTTTTCTCTGTTGGCGTCGTTTGCTCAGCAGTCTGTGTGCGCTGTGTGTCTTTGCAGAAATGGGCGAATGGAGACGACGGGCAGGAGTTGTGTGTCGCAGACCTAGAAGAAATATTCAAGGATGAGCACGAGGATCCCGAAATGGACGGGGAGGAGGAGGACGGGGAGGCCATTGAGGATCCTGTCCCGGAGACGAAAGTGGACCTGGGCAACATTAGTGCCAGCATGGGCGTGGCAGAGCTGACACTGATCCTGTGCGCGGGCGAGGACAACGAGGTCAAGGCCGAGATGCAGGAGATCCTCAACCAGACAATGCCCGTTGTCCAGGAGCACAAGCGAAAGTGGAAAGAGGCTGGGCTGGACCGCATCCTGGACACCTTCGACGAGAAGCAGATCGAGCAGCATGTGGGCCAGTGGATGCGCCGCAACAACAGCGCCTTTTTGGAGGACGCTCCTCCCGCCAAGTGTCTTTATGTGTCCGTTTCGGAACCCAGCGACAACGAATCGCTGCACTCAATCGACACGGCCCGCTACATCCGGCAGAGCCGGCGGCGCGTGCCAAACAAGATCTCCAACACGGCCACCATAAAGATGTATCGCACGCACTCGCACAAGCGGGACGAGCTGCGGGCCAAGTACGCCTACGACGATGAGCAAGAGCATCACCACCATATGCAGACCTTGCTGCACCGGCGGCGGGAGAAGGAGCGACAGGTGACCTATGTGAGCGCCTCACCTCAGCACTGCATACTCTCGAGCGGCCATCATCAGCGGCGCAAGCATCGGCGCAAGCGACACGCGAGCTCGCCAGTTTTTGACTATTCGTCCAGCGATGATGATGATCGATCCTACGGTCGGTGCGCCTGCCGCTCCTGCCTGACCCATCACTCGTTGTCCAGGAGCGCCTCTTACCAATGCTGCTCGTATAGGGGAGCACGCGATTGCCACCACCACCACCACCACCGCTCGATGGCCTCGCGGACCATGCATCACCTGCGTCGCCAGCACAGCTACGACCTGGACTTGAGGCCGCGATTGCGGGAGAGCGAGTGCAATTGCTGCACCAGCGACCGGCTCTGCTCCAACGTGGTGCACATTGCAAACAGCTCCACCGAGGAGTGGGTTGTGGAGAACTGCAGCAGCAGCAGTCCACTGGTCGTGGAGACACCGAAAAAGTTTCGGCAGAAGCATCAGTTGGTGGCCATTAGAAAACCCAACTCGAAATTAACTCTTTCCAAGCGCCACAAGCAGAGAATCCCGAAAAGTGTGACGACTCCCTCAACCTCCAATTTGATAAAGTCACAAGTTAGCCTGCTGGGCGAATCGTCCGAGGATGATCATGAGGGATCGCCCAGGAAGCTTATGAAAAAGCCAATAGCTTCTGCTCCAGATACTGCAAGGAAGACTCAAAAGGGGGGAGGAGCTGCCTTAACTTTTATGCAAAAGCAGGTGCCACCTAAACAGAACCAAGGAGATTCCAAGAAACTCCCGGCTGACATAGTCCCATCGTCCGAAGAAAGCGAAGAGGAAGTTAGGGAAAGAATCCGCTTGGTGGCAAAAAACTCAACAAAAGAATCTGCCTCAAAGAGAACGCCTTCTTCGAACAAACCTATTTTTTGGACCGCCAACCGACTATCCAAAATCCCAGAGGAGGTTGTCAAAGCTAAGGAACCGGAGAATCAAGTCTCGGCTTTTTCTACTGAAATCTGTAAGAAGAATGAAGCCTGCTCAGCTCAGAAGACTGAGAAGACCAGCTCCAAGCAGTTACTGGAAGAGCAAAAGACGCAAAAGAAATCAAAAATGTCGGCCATCGACTCATCCGACACAAACGATGCTAAAACTTCTGGCAAATCTCGAGCAAGGCCCAGAAAGTCTTCGGATTCAGGCAAAAAGAGTGCTACGCTGAACAAAGGATTTATTAAGAATAAAATTGGTCCCGCTAGCAAAGACATTGCTCAACTGTCCGACGAAAGCGAAGACGAAGTTATTGGCAGAAGTCGCAAGCAAGCCGAACCTCGGGGAAGACATAAAAAATCTGCAACAGCTCCAACAAAAAAAGAGAAGACAAAGAAAACCAGCTCCAGTGGAGATGCAAAGGAAAAGGTTGCTATTCAATCACCCGACTCCCAGGAATCCCTCTCCGGGAAGGTCAAGGCTCCAAAAGCAAAAATCAATAATAAAAAACAAAAAAAAGGGATATCAAGCGAATCCTCAAGTCTCGATAAAGCCACCGACTCGGAGGACTTAGACTTTCAGCGGGCCCTGGCCTTGTCCACAGAAACCTACAAGGAGGAGCAATTGAAGCAAAGCCAACGCCCACTGGAAACTCAACCCCAGTTGCAGTCGCAATCTCAGCTTGTGTTCAACAACAACAGCGTGGCCTGCAATTCCACAGCAGTGGCCAATGACACGGCCTGCACACGAGTGCTTTCCCCGAAGAAGCGTGGCTTTAAAAGGACAGCAGCTGTAAGCAGCACGGAGGCACAGCAGGTGCAGGTCATTACCATGGATTCGTCGGAGGAATGTGTGGTGGCAAAGGGCGGCGATGCTGACTGTACCGTCGTGACTTCGACCACCATCTGTGAACCGGCCGCTGCTGTGGCCGCTCGGAAGCCATCGCCACTTAAGATCAGCAAGCGGGGCATCCTGCTGCACAACTCATCGTCGTCGTCGGCTGGAGCAGGCGCTAACTTTACCCTGACCGAGCAGAGTCTGGGCGAGGTGATTGGCGACCGTTTGGCCCGCAGGTATCTCAAGTATCACGTGGGCAGTCGCACCTTCGACAGCAGCCATTCGGTTTACTACCGACCCACGCCCAAGTTGGCCGAGGCATTGCGGGCGTCCTCGATGGATACCCAGGTGCTGGCCAATTTATCGAGTTCCGATTCCAGCGACGATGATGTGTTCGATCAGATTCGCAAATACGGGGACGTGTACAGTGTGGCCGAAAGCGGCGTTAAGCATAAGGATTAAGCACAAGGATCTTAGAAATGGCCTTGAAAAGGCTCTCTTTAGGCTTTTGAATTGTATTTCTTTGTGTTTTTATTTTTATTTCACGTAAATTACATGTCGATAGTGATAATAGAAAACATAATATGTCATCATTAATGTTCGCTTAAGTATTAAATAATTGTTTAAGAGATTTATTCGCATTGCAATAGTAATATTTGTGTGCCCAAGAATAAGTGTTTTCTGTTTAAGTTTCCATTCGGTTTATCCAAAAATATATATGTGTATCGGCTATTGTTAAGTTCACAAGAAAATAAAACAAATAAAACAAAAGATCAAGAATTTAAGAAAATGGCGCGTCGAGAAAAAAGACACCAGAAGCTTCGTCCTTCCATGTGGGGGGTATGTATGTACAAATAACAAAAAGTCTTACCTAAAATATATGCTGATATTATGTATCAATCAAGAGTAATTAAAATTAAACAAAGAGAGTGGCGTTATGCGATGAAGAAAACAAGAATAAACACACGACTGACTCTGACGGATCTTTCGCTCCTGGAACATGCGCGCGCCCTGGAACACATACACATGCGAAGAATATATCTACACGTACACATATGCCTGGCCGGCCTAGCTTCATATACATATAGCGCTCTCCTCCCTCCCTACACATCGATCTGGAATGGGGAGCCGGGCACGTGCTCCTCGCCCCACTTGATTAGCAGCACATACTGTCCGCGATCGCGCACCACATAGTGCACATTGTAGTTGTTGTGGCCGGCGTGCTTGACGTGGAGCTCCTCGCAGGGTCCCTTCGGTCCGTACATGCCAACGTACAGGATGTTGTTGCCTGAAAAAAAAACGAGAAGAATATATTCCAATTAGTTTGTTAAATTTTAGAGCTGGGAAGCTCTATCCCATAACCAAAGACAATAGAGTTACTAAGGTGAGTGTAACGGCACTACTCATCTTAGCAATTTTATTACCACAACTTACCCGCATCGGTGGCACAGATGGTAAACTGGTTCTGCTTGCCAATGTAGGCCTTCTTCAGGCCCATGCCCTTGGACTCCACTTTGTTGGCATCCGACTTGAATGTGGGCAGATGGACGCCCGTCTTCTGACCGCCCTTGGCCACCTTGTGCACCGTCTCAACGGTCACCGTCGATGTCTCCTGAGCGCCCTCATCGGCCAGCTTATCGCCAATGGCGTTGATCTTGAAGGGCGAGCCCACGATGTGCATGTTGTTGTACTTGACCGTGATGTAGTGCTCGCCGGGCAGGAGGGGAGTGTAGCGCACCTTGTAGCCCTCCTCCACCTCCGTGCAGTCCATGGCCACCTTGGAGGGTCCGTCAATGGAGACGGCCAGAGTGCCAACGCCCGCATTGCAGGTATTGATGATGAAGTCAGCCTTGTGGCCAGTCTTCACCTCGTCCAGGCCGTTGCCGCTGGCATGGACCGCGGCCGGATCGGCCACATCCTTGCCGACCTTGATTCTGAACGGAGAGTCGGGTATGTGGACGCCGTTGAACTTGACGTGAATGGCATGGATACCGTTCTCGCGCGGATAGAAGCGCACCGAAACCATCTCGCTGTCGATCGCCTGGATGAAGCAATCGTCGTCCGTGCCGGACGGAGCAACGATCTTTGCGTCCAGCTCGCCCTTGGCGCCGTTCTTGCGCACCATGAACTGGTAGGGGGCGTCCGGCAGGATGTTGCCCTGCGGGAACTGCTGCACCTCCAGCTTGTGGGCATCGCCGGCATCCGGCGAGATGTAGACCTTGAATGGCGAGTCGGGGATGTGGCGATCGTTGAACTTGAGACCGACGCGATACTCTCCGGGCTCGGTGACCTTGTAGGACACATCGCAGCTGCCGTCCTTGCGGTCCTTGAACTCAATGTCCGCCTTGCTGGGACCCTCCACGGAAATGGCCAGGGAACCGCCGCCCGCCTCGCGGGTCCACACATTGAACTCGGCCGCCTCACCGACAACGCCGCGCTCCAAGCCCGAGCCTCCGGCCTTGACCAGATGGCTGCCAGAGTCGCGCAGGGGTCCCACGGTGAACTGGAAGGGCGAGCCGGGTATGTGCATCTCGGAGTAGCGCACGGACACTGTGTGCACGCCCAGCTCCTTGGGCACAAAGTGCACTGAGTAGAGGCCATCCTCCACCTCCTGGATCTCCGCATCCTCGGTGACATTGCTGGGCGAGGTGACGCAGGCGGCCAGATCGAACGAGGTGATGCCGGGCATCTTGAACGTCAGCTTGCACTGGCTGCCGATCTCCGTGATTGGAACGGCATCGCGCTCCCGCTGGATCTTCTCGCGCTTGCGGTTGCTGCCCTCGCCGGCCACCTTGACGGTGAAGGGTGATCCCTCCACGTGGTGATCGGCAAACTTCAGGTTCACAATGTAGTAGCCCGGTTCCGTGGGCTTGTACGAGATGTTCAGGGTTCCGTCGTCCTTGTCCGTGCACTGGATCTCCGCCTTGCTGGGACCCTCGATGGAGACCGAGAGGCCGCCAAAGCCAGCGTTGCGCGTGTCCACGGAGAAGATGTTGTCGGCGTGCGTCTGGCCCTCCTTGAGGCCGGCTCCACTGACCTTCACCTTCTTGGCGTCGCCCACCTCACGCTCGCACACGGTCACCTTGAAGGGGGAGTTGTTGATGTGCTTGCCCAGACGCTTAACCGACACCAGGTGCTCGCCGGTCTCGCGGGGAGTGAACGAGATGCCAATGTTGCCGGTGGGCATGCGCTTGAGGAAGCAGGGCTCCTCCAGGCCGCTGGGTGCCTGGATGGAGGCGTTCAAAGCACGCAGATCGTCGTCGGTGATGTCGCCGGGCATGGTGACCTCGGAGCAGGAGCCCACAGAGATCTGGTTGCGCTTGCGACCCTCGCCGGTGATCTTGGCGAAGTACGGCGATCCCTTGATGTGCCTGTCGCCGAAGCGAACCGACACCTGGTACTCTCCAGGGGCAGTGGGCAGGTATTGCACGGAGACGGTGCCATCTTTGTTGTCATGGTAGTTGATGGTCGCCTTGCTGGGTCCCTCGACGGCCATGGTCAGGCCACCGGCGCTGGCTCCCTTGGTGGAGATGGTAAAGTTGGCCGGTTCACCGGTGACGCCGTGGGTCAGGCCGGGTCCGTAGGCAGTCACGAAGCCCGAGGTGATCGAATCCACGTGGAATTTGAAGGGAGATCCTGTAAAGTACAGTGAATTCGTGAATCTATATGGCAGGTCAAAGCCTTAGCTTTTGCTTACCTTGCACTGGCTCTCCATTGTATTTGACCACCAGCTCGTGGGATCCCTCCTCGCGGGGATCGTACTTAACGGAGACAGTACCATCACGGTTGTCCTGAATCACGGGTTTGTCTACTTTACCGCTCGGCATTTTGACTTCAGCTGCAAAGAAGAAATAGTTTTGGTTAGATGTTGTATTATCATCGTCAGAATATGTATAAAAATGATACAAGAATTTAAGAAAAATTTTAGAAAATACAACAAGTACTCCTAATAGACTAGCTAGACAGAAGTTTGCCACACTTTTAGTCTTTTTCTTTTAATTATACTTATAATTTTTGAGAAAAACTTGAATTTAACATGGGGAATAATGCTCGGAATGTTGCCAGAAACATGTTGAGCATGTCAGTGTTGCGTTACAGGTTCTGCAACATTATTGCAGCAACATTATTGCAGGATTGCCTTATAATTCCCAAGTCTATGTTTTAAGGAACTCAAATTTTAGAAAAATATTCGCACTATATATATATTTATTTAATATTCCTTTATAATAATATGTTATAAATGAATTAATTTGTCTTTCCATTTCAATTGTGATAGTTTGTGTTATTTTATGGTCTCATTTGAATTTTGGGTACGCTATAATTCCCATGTACCACCTCATGGGTACCAAGTAAAAGATATATATATATATATCCATATACCAATTCCATCGAATGAAAACTCTATTTTGGAGACCATTTTTAATGGATGTGTTTTGTATACGGCAGAATTATGTCACGAAAAAAGCATTTTTCAAAATCATTTGCGTGGGCGATCCGGATCGCCCAGAAGTTTTGAAAAAATCATAATTTCATTTTTATGTTCGAATTTGCGTGCCATTTTTTATGAATATTCCACCACCAAAATCTATTTCTGTGTTGCCTCTGCACACAGATCTAAAAGATCGAAGAAACAACCAACGCAGCAACAAAAAGTAAATTAATTGGACCAAATGTTATTTGCCACGAACGAAAGAATTCCAAAGACTTGAACAGGATATCATATAACTATGGCACACACTGTCACTGCCAATAAACCGATGAATTCATTTCGTTATAAATTTATTTCCACCGAATATTTCACAATATTTTCACACTATTTCCACGTACTTTTCCTTTTGCTCTGGAGACACACCCACAAATAGTAAGAAGAGTTTGCTTGAGTATCCTTGTGTTTGATCCTTGGCTACAACTGGGAGCCGGATTTGAAAATCACTTCTCTACTGTACGAATGCTGTGCATCGACTGAGTGGCCAGTAATCTTGTGGCTTTCCAAAGAAATTTCCACCAACGCCTACAATTGCTTTTATACATTTTTCCCACGCCATCAAGCGCGACAGAGAGATGAAAACAACAGCATCTCGTTCCTGAATCTCGCTGAGGTCAAATATAGGACATGGTTTTTATGTTCCTCCCCTATGTATTTCCTCTACATAACCACATAGGCAAACATCTCCCTCCCAACAACAAACTACAAAACCTACTAAAAGTATATGACAAATGCATAAAAATCTATTTATAAATTAATATCTGTCTAGCAATATGCTGGAGCAATCTCTATAACTGCACGTGTCTGAATTTATATTTAAATCTCAATATATTTTTATATTCGGGAAGAATCTCTTTATATACTGCAGGAAATATTCAGATGTGTGTATACCCAGTACATTCCAATGACTTTTTTGCTGTCAAAACATCACATCGTATATAAAGATCGAGGGGATCATTAGTTAAAAACAGAAAGAAACCCTGCTAATTTATTTGGAAAAAGACGTGCGAAATTAATTAGAATGGATGATATAGATTCTAGTCTTATAGTTATAGTAGGGTTCATAATCGAAATTTATTATTCCATCATCGTTTAGTTATTTATGGTGCAGTTAATTATAGACCCACAAGAGTCATATGCTGACACTCGTCGTAAATTTTGATTTTATTAAAAAATCATTTAATTTTCAAAAAGCAAAAGAAAACTATATCGAAGAGTCCATCATAAATATGTGTGTTCAAAGCAACCGCTAAGCTTTCCATCGCTTAGCCCCTCATCGAAATAATATTCTTCTGCTTAGCTTTTTGATCCATCGAAAGAATTATTTAATGGGCATTTTTGGGGGCGAGACAGATGATGCCTTGACTAAACAAAAACAAACCCGGTAAACACAGATAAATCAGGGGAACGTGTCGCGTGCCCCGACTGATGTTAAGAACCAGGCACTACATAGATATAGAGTAAACTAAAACACACCGTCAAAACATGTCAGGAAAGACAATGCCTGCGGACGTGGGTCTTTGAAGAAGCTGCCAAGTGGAGAATTTGCAAAATTTATAGCCAACTTATGGGCGGAGACAACGGCGAGGAATCTTTGCAGAATGCAAAACAATTAATTAATGGAGAAAATTGGGACACCGACCGGGAAAGGGGTTTGTAATCAAAACACACAATTTTCAAAAGATTCTTGAGATTTAAATATTTCCATCTGAGAGCACAAGTTGCCTTCAGCTGTTCACTTTCCTGAATTAAATGACATGTAAAATGGGTAAAATTCAAAGAGCAACTCGAAATACACGTTCAAATGGAATTTCCTTTGGCAAATTAACGATCAAATATTGTGTCGAGTGCACGCAAAGGCATTTGATGGAAACATAAAAAATGATGCCCAAGAAATTGAACGTATTAAAAAGTGGCTGCCAAGAGACAACTATATCCCACTAAGCGTGAATATCTATCCCAGTGTCGTCCCCTTCGAAAAATATGATTATTTATGTTTGAACATTTGCTGCTGTCCGTCGATGTCCGTTCCTCCCGACAGCCCCCTTTGCCCTCGATCACCTGCCAGCGCCGCCCATTGAAGCATGAGATACGACGGAGGCAGAGGCAGCAGATGGGAATGGGAATGGGAATGGGTATGGGACGACGAAGGCATCTTTGGCATCTAATGGACGCTGGCAATACAAATGAAAGATTTAATGACTCTCAGGCCGCGCCAAACGGATAGAAGTAGTATGCTTTCGATATATCAGCGAAAGTTTTTGCCATTTGCGCGTAGCGAATACAATTTCTACACAGGTCAGCAGGGGAATTAAAACGAGGGATATTAATCCAAATAAAAAATTTAAAGAAAGAAAGCTTAACTTAAGCTAAAATATTGTATTCATTTTGATTCCGAGATCTTCTGTAAAATCCTGAAACCCACAAACTACGATAGATCTTTCATAGATGTTTCCCAGAGACATACTTTTGGGTATACAATTATTTCAAATCTTGACTGAATGACTTTCATTAGTTTTACAGTTTTGGAAGCACTAAATATAGCCCAAACTTGTTTGTTAAGTAGAGATGTAAAAATATGGAATATTTAATAATTTAAAAGTATTTAGAAAGAGCTCTAACGGTACTTGGCAAAATAATGAATGATAAGTACCTCAATTTCCTTTCAGGGCTTAGAGAACGCTTAAGCCTGTACATAGATTTATAATTATTTATTTAAAAAGATTCTAAACTTCAGATTTCCAAGATATACATAAATATATAAGATCCAAAACCTTAGATAAATTTCTCATTATTTAAAATACCAAATTCAACACCTCAGATCTTAAAGGTATTACAATTTTCTAAAGTCACTGGAGATTTCACTATTTTGGCAAACTTTTAGGCTTGGCTAAATTCGTTTTTCTTCTTTTTAATACATAAAAATGATTTGTTTCGAGGAAATATAAGTATATTTTTGCTTTAAATTGAGGGATTTCCAAGTATATCTGGTTAAATCAAGCAACAGTTTTATCATAAAACAACGTTTAAAGTTATTTTTAACTTAATATTTTTGTGGAAAATGTTTTTTTTTTTTTAAATAAAATAAATTATACGGTTTTCATGTAACTATTTGCATAAAAATTCACTGAAATCAACCGCAATTTGAACCCAAATAATTACATTTTAAAGTTCTAAATTTCAATTGAATATTGTGGATTTTTTTTTTTAAACTAATAATAATTTTAATAATTTGTATTTTCTTTGTATATAGTAAAAATATTTGACGAAATATTATTATTTTAAGAGTCTAACTACGTTAGCTCTTCGAAACTAAGAGGCATTTCTTGTGGTATTATTCCCAAAACTGTTAATATTAATAATTAAAACCTATTCTAATGAAATCCTTTCTTATAGAGTTCTCTAAGCAACACTGTAGCCCCTGTTGATCAGTGTAAACTATCATAGTAGTGCACAGCTAACATAGCACACGCAGCGCCATTGAGAAATCGCATGCAGAATAAGCCAAACGAATTTTACGCTTTGTTGCACTTTGTGATAATAAATCATAGAATATAATTTGTAGACAAATGGCTACGCCCGAGGGTCCCCATTTCTGGGGACTTTTGGGTAATAATTCAAAATTCTGAAACCATTCCGAGAGCGCATTCTGTGTGCCTGTGTGTGGCCTGGTCAGGCGTGCCTGGCGCTACACCATTTCAATGCGAATCTCTGAATCTCTGCGAATATATGAATTTGGTGTCAGTTTTGTCATTAGCACAAATGCAACACACATTCTTGGATGCTTTAGTCAGGAGGAGGACAATTCGAGGATGGACGTCAGCTCGTTTTGGCAAGCTGACAAGTATCAAATAGGGTCTGATGATGATGATGACGATGGTGAGACATCTTCCAGAATTTACCTTGATGTGTTACTATGGCAAACGATGATTTGAAATTCAATGGCATAAAATCTGAACCATTTAGTCCCTGATTCTCCGGTATGATCGTCTCATTGAAGTACACGCTAGTCCGTTCCACGTGATCGCGCTCCGACACGGTCACCTTATAGTATTGCGGCCGGAAGAAGTACGAGTGATCGGCCCAGGTGGCTAGCGGTGCGGGCGGTTTTTCCGTCAACCAACTGAAGTGCATTTTTCCGCGTTACGAGATTTGGTTTTGAGGTTCAGTTGATAAATATAGGTAGATTTCAGGCGAGCGCGAGGTTTGTTGGTTTTTTGTGAAATAAAGACACTTAAAATTTATAACAATTTAATTACAAAACAACGAAACAAAATTTTCTATTTTCAATTCTTGGCTTAGGCGGGCACAGCAAGGATATGCGTCCAGAATTTAGATCAATTTAGGCCAGAATACCGCATATCCTTGCTGAAGAGCTCCAAGCCAAAAAAGACTGAGAGAGAGAGAGAGATATTCGAATCGGTTACGGAATCGAAATCGAATTCGAAATCGGAAAATTATTATTGGTTTGTGGACCACTCACACTTGGGCAATCGACTAAGAATGGTTATATAATCGGGCGCTAAAGATACAAGGCGAGTGTCCTGCTTAAGAGAGAGTCCTTTCGATTGCAACTTGCACTTGAGCTTTATTATTATTTTGGAGAATGTGTGTCAACCGACGGTTTTTCTTGTTTTCTCTCTTTATTTTTAATTATTATATTATTTTATTGCCAGCGACGTTCTTGTAGGTCCACGCGTCTCCACGTCCCGATTTCAAGTGAACATCGACAGTTCCAAATCGAAATTAAGGCCAAAATATGAAAGCACATCGGTTCCTACCACCAAGATGCGTCTGCTGCCGTGGCCCAAAAGCAGCGCAGCAGCAGCAGCAACAGCAGCAGCAGCACTCACACACACACCAACAGAGTTTGTTGGGATTTTCGAAAATATGGCCGACTTGCTGCTATAGCCTTTATAGCAGGCAGGCAGGAGGAGAAGCCAGAACGAATGGACCAATGAACGACATATAAAAGATAAAAAGATAGAAAATTGGAAATATTGCTCTTCTGCCGACGAATCTATGAATTTTGATGTGTGCGCGTCTCTATATACATATTTTATATAGACTCGCCTTAACATAAATTTCAGATGTGTGTTGGTTCTTTAACAGTTGCCATTTCGAAAAAAAAAATTCATAGAATCGAAAATATGAACAAATTCGAAACTCGAAAGGTGCAAATTCGCGACCGGGGGGAGGTGGGAGGACTTCGGGTCAAAAGTATATACAAGATGATCGTCAGGGAAATAAAATTTATTACTTATTGCAGCTCAGACGACACAGAATTTATTAATATTTTACCATTAGGATCGGAGGGGAAGCGTTTAAAAATAAAAATTGGCCAAACATATAGACAATTCCTATAATTCTATATATTCTTTATTTTATTGGCGTGAAGAACGCAGCGATTTGGCGGCTATAAAACCCATAGAATACAAATATAGTCTTGTTGGTATGCCGAAAATGTGTTAATCATTTCATTTCTATATCCGTGTATAATGTCGTATTAATCGAAGAGTCGTTAAAGTGGTAAACATTCCTTCGCACGCTTTTATCCAATACTTATGTAATGGATCGTTGTATCGTCTGTATCGTTTTTTTGTATTATTTCGTTTGGCAATGCAAAATCAATTTAGTTGCAATTTTCGTAGCATTGAAAATGGAAAATGGTCAGGCAGGCTATGCAGATGGGGAGGGACACTACTGTCAAGCAATTGGCGAAAATCAATCAAAAATATTTTGTGTTGATCTTACAGATGCGTCTCTTTGGCAGCGATTATTGACTAATCAAAATTTACATATGTATACATATGAAAATTAAATGTATGATTTTTGTCTTTGAATATTAGTATAAAAGGTTCTTAGAATTTTAAATAAAATATAATGAAATTAAGTATAAAAATCATTAGTTAAAAGTTAAAATTTTTAAATTTAAAATAGATGCTTCGGAAAAAAGGACCCGCTGACTCATCATTATATAGTTTCTAACCAGCTTAAAGATTCTTTGATTCAGGAAAAATATTATCAAGTTGAGAATTCAAAGAAAGCGTTAAATGTGGGGATACTGCAGGACCCTGTTTACGCTTTAGACCTCTTTTTATTTTTCTAAATTTAATCCTTGAAGTAAAATCTGTTTTAGAAAATTCCTTTCGTTTTTAAAGACCTTTACCATTCAGAGAAAATTTCACAAATTTTTCTCTACATCTTATTAGGGAATTCTTTAGCTTTAAAACCAATAAGTAAGGCAATGCTGCAGTGCTTCTTTTTCTTTTCTTAATTGAAACCTTTAAGCCAAAAATCTGTTTCAGAAACTTTCTACTCAGTATTCGTTTCTAAACAACTTTACCATTAAGAGAAAATATTTATAATTAATTTGCTTTATGAGTCTTTTTGGGAAGCAGTAACCCCTTGTATGCTTTGGACTTTCTTTCCTTTTAATATCTTTAAATTGAGAAACAAGAACTACCTTCTTTTTCTTTACATAATCAGTATCCGTTGCTTATCAACACCAACAATCATTAATTCAGGAGAAAGATACCCTAATCTAAAACTCTAAAACAAAAGATAGGTAAGAGCTGCAGTGTCCCTTGTGCATTTTGGCCTTTTCTGCAGTCGTAAGTCTTAAGCTTTTTTATTATAATTATGTACCCAAGACGAATAAACTTTACAAATGCTTTAGAAAAGGTTCCAATTTTCCGTTCTTATCCAAACGCTCAACGTAAAACACCCTTCAAAATAAGATCCCACAATTTCCGTTCATACCAAAAACCATTTACCCAAAAGATACACAAACATTGCTATTTTCCAGTCAATAAATATTCTTAGTGGCTAATAATAAACATTTTTTGCCCCTTTCATTTGACGGGCAATGAGAAATCAATGCAACTAATGCGCTACAAATCTATGTCATTTGGCCAAAACGAATCATTTACAATAAACCATCTTCAAAGCAAATGGAGCGCAACAAAGAAAACCCAAAACCAAAACCAAAACCAAAACCGAACCGGACCAATCCTCCCACAACAAGGCGTGGTCTTTGAGACCAAAAAACCACCAAAAATCAATTGAAAAAAAAAACCAACAAATGAAACGTGGCGCGGCTTGTGATCTTAATGATGACTCTTGCCCGGCTTCCGTCGTCTTCCTCCGTCGGTCTAGCGGTCAAGCGCGCGAAAATGTTTGAAAATTGCATGGAAGCGTGAAAAATCGAACAAAAATATTTGCACAACACAGAGAGAGAGAGAGAGAGAGTGTGTGTGTGTGTGTAGAGTGCAAGTGCTATTCATTGAGAGTGGAAACCTCATTAATCATGCCGAAAATGTTCATTAAATTGCGGTGCAATCTATGTAGCTATTTGCAAACTCGTAAATCGATCAGCAACCCAAAAAACATGGCAAAATAAATTTAGGTAATTACCCCAGGCAGGCAACAATAATTTAATACCCAAATTACTTGCCACGAGTTGAATACAAGTGGCCAAGTCAATGAACGTGTCGGAATGGAAAACAAAAGAAAAATATTCCCACGACAAGAAAAGTGAGATGAAAAATCTTTGTGGGCGATGAACTGCAGAGGCGCAGAACAATACTAGAGACCTCCCAGAATGAAAGGCAGTCTAATTAAGATGTCGCCTGTCAGCGTTTAGCCTGATAAGCCGTCACGGGGCTGTCTTCTCCTTATCCTCATCCTCTGAATAAGAGAAAGAGGAGGAGGAGGAGGAGGTCTTGGGTGCGTTGCCCACTTGTCCATGGGTGTCGTCGTCGTCGTCTCAGCCAAATGCGCCGCATTGCAAAGCAGCATATAGACACATATAGTTGGGATGAGTTTGTGGGTATTTATACTTCTGTATACATTTCACAGATTTACGACACACGAATTATGTATATTTTCGCCTGACAATAGCCCACCTTTATTTATATATTCCCCCCAGAGATCGGATGCGATGCGATGTGTCTGAATGTGTCACTAGAAGATTCTTCTCTAGGTGCTGTCCCAGCTTAAATGGCGCATAAATACTTTCTAGATTAAATAAACCACTCGGCATTTTGGTTTAATTAAAACGCATGCACGGCTAGGTGTCTCTCTTTCGCAAGTGATTAACTTTCGTTCCGAGACATGGCGTCGACGACATTATTATTATGCTTTTCGAATATTATTTTTCATATTTTCTAATTTATATTTTACACTGCACGTACCTGTAACGTTGCCGCCTGTCGTGGGTAATGGTAGTTTCTCAAATGCTACACTCCTGTACGTGGTCTCTGACTTTCCGTTGACGAGTTCGCTCTGAAAAGGTTTTATAATCTTTATAATATTTATCAAAAATATTTAAAATATATTCAATATAAATGAAGTAATTCATGCCAACTGTGAAAAGAAATGTGTTAGAAATTATAGTGTTTCTTCTATCGTTTAATATTTGTGCGAAATATTTAATTGAAATATTAGAGAAATACTTGTGCTCTTGCATCTTAAATTTTTAAAAATTAAAACATAACTTTTTTTTAATATTTATATGATTTATATAGAATTTATAAAGTCTTTAATGAGAAACTGATAAAAACAATAAGTTTTTATTATTTAATTCATTGAATATTATTTTTAAAATTACATTAAAAATATTATACGATATTTTCAGAGTTACTTGCATATTTTACCTTCAAAAATTTTTTAAAATATATGTACTTTTGCTTAAAATTTTTTAAATATTTAAAAAAAATAAATAAAAATATAAAAAGATTGAAAAACAAATTTTATATAAAAATTCCCAATACATATTCCTTATAATAACAAAAAAATCATCTATTATATAGAACTTTGAAAATTTACATTTAAAAAAATCTTTTTTAGAGCCTCTAAACTTTGAAATGTTACCCTGGAAATGTAATTAAAGTATTATACATGCATATTCCTATTTTTCCCCACTATTATCAAGAATTTTCACATTATATATTATTACACAACCCCTTTTTTCGAGTCTTTAAACTTTTAAAAACCCTTTTAAATTGAATGTACCCTTCCCAGAATTTATTTCCTTTTTAAAAAGTACACTGTAAATGTTAGTTGGTTTAAATTAAATACCCTTAACTACCTGATCTAGGATAAAATCCAAAGACCAACTCACCTGCGTTGTCTGCTGTACCACCTTGGTCGTGTGCTCCTCGATGTATTCACTGTGCGAGTATTGTTCGATGCTTTCGACAGCCTGAGAGGGGATAAGTCAATGAGTATGAAAATTGAAAATTAAGAATGCCGAAAATTATTTCGATTGTAAGTTCGAAACAAATAAAACCAAACTATGGTACACACACACACTTGAGAAGAAGCCAATAATAATAATAGATCATTAAGTGGCACTCTGGAGAATGAGAACAATGGCCGAAGAAACTCATATACTTTGCACTTGCCAAGTGAGTTGTGAGGAACTACCATCTACATATATATATCTGTGGAGGAGATCTGCTTATTATTAAATCCAAAAGGCATCGAGTGATATGTGGGGGGAACTGCGAACTGGAAAAGTGTGAAACCAGCAAAGAATTCTAACAGAGGAAGTGGAATTGATTGACGCGCGGACACACGATTGTGCAAAAGAATTTCCACAATTGCAGCTGTTACATAATGAAGGCAGAAAATCAAATGATTATATTTATATATATATATGTACAATGTATGCCTGCATATATCGAAGAAATATCGAAATCATTTCGTGCCATACACTCGCCGTATCCGTGGCCGAAAATCGAAAAAGTCAAAGATACAAATCGCAATAAAATATTTGGGCTATTAATAAGAAAGTGCGCCAATGGGTACGGCCGGCCAATCAATGGACCAGCAAGGAAAATCGAAAATTGCCAGCAAAGCGACAACTCAGATCCCAGATATGATAGGGGAGATCTATCATTCGTATACACTTCTTCACTTGCACTAGCACACTTCTGCTTCCAGACACGGGAACTCACGTCAGGACGAACTATGACTAAGAGGCGGCGGTTAGTGGACGACTAGCTCGGATTCGGCTAAAGACTGCCACTATAACTAGTGTCGTTGTCGTTGTAGTCGTCGTCGTTGGATGCCTCCGTCTCCGTCTCAGTCTCTCTTTATGGGCTTCCTTCTTCTACACTGGCGCTGGCGGCGTTGGCAGCTGAAATCAGCACACCACACTTTGCGCCATATTTTCATTTGGTACACATTCGCTTTTCCTATTTTAATTACTTGCGAATTTTCGTACGATGGCTCTAGCACAAATTCATTTTCATATGCAGCGTATATTTGATTTTGTTGCAACCTGCCGAAAGCATCAGCGGCAGAAAAACCGCAGCAACTATAACAAAAACAGCGGGTAGAACATGCTGAATCAGCGTGGGTTGTCATCGGGGACCCTCCTGCTGCTCTTTCTCCTTTTCCATCTACTAGAAATCATTTAGATGATGCTCTATAAATTACAGTGGCGTAGACCCAGAGGGTTTATGTGGAAATAGTTCGGTTCTTGTATAAAGTCTTCTAAGGATTTAGTTATCAAAGCAAATTAAGAAAATCTTAGTGAATCAAGTAAAAGAACTTTTAAGAAAAATAACTAAAAATCTTGAAAAAATATACAACAATCACACTGGATATAAATCTGATTGTAAAAAAACCAACTATTTGCATATTTATACGATGCTTATTAACTGCTATATTTTAAACAACGGATTTTAGTGCTAGAATCCGTTGGGAATTTCAGTGCAATGCAAGTGGTAAGTCCGCCATTGCTGCAGATACCCCTTGTAAGCAGTAAAAAAATATAATAAATTGATAAAAGAAGGCTTGACTAAATGTGTGAGCAAATAATCTTTATGTAAGTCCTATTTTTCAATTTAGTTATATGATTTTTATTTTTGAGGGAGCTGAGAGCCTTTGCTTGCGTTTGATTGTTAAAAAAACCAAGTATTTTCATAAATATACGATGCTAATGAATAATGAATACAATAAATACCTAAGGTTTAGTGCTAGAATCCGTTGGGAATTTTAGTGTAATGCAAGGGGTAAGTAGTGCAGAAACCCCTTGTATACAGAAAAAAAACATATTTTTATAAAAAAAGGCTTGACAAAATGTGTGAGCAAATTACCCTTATTTATGTCTCATTTTCGTGAATTTACTTATTAGATTCTTGAGAGAGTCACCGCTTGCTTTGGACTTTTTTGTTTTAAACTTTTAGTTTAAACCTTTTCAAATGGAAGTTATATATTTTGCTTTTAAAGGGTAGAAAAGATTAATCTAATAGTTAATATAAAAAATTCTTATAAATCCAAGTAAACCCTTTCCTAAAGCTAGATCTGTAAAAATAACCAAACTGAGGACCTAAGAACTTAACCCTTTCAGGCAGAGAAGTCTCTAGAGCTGTTACCATTTATGTTTCTGGGGTTGTATCACATTCTGTATATTTAATTATACAAATCTGAAGCAATGTTTTAATTCTGCCGAAATGTCAACCACAAATGTGTGAATTGGTATAAACATATTGTTTGCCTAACATTAAAATATTATTATTGGGCAAAGTTGAAACCACAAGCACACTGAAATAGACATTTGGTATATTGTTCCCCTGGTGCGTGTGTGTGCAACAGATCACGTAGACGGCCGTAGACAGGCCCCATAATAATGAAGTTTTTCGTGTCCGGAAATATCTATATGGACGCATACAAAGTTTCCTCTTCCCTTTTTTTTCGAAAATTGAAAAATGCGGATAGAAATTCATTTTTCAGCCAGCTAATTGTGCAAATCTGTTAAACATAAATTTCGTGCGAAAACAACAGACAACTCAATTAATCTTTGGGTTCACGACGATTCTTGGGCGAGCACTCAGACCCGCAGCTGCAAGAGGAAAAAAATGTTCTGTTTCAATATTTTTGGGCACTATGCCCGATATCGCTGACTCTCGCTTGAGATGGCAGTGAGGCGCGCATTGTTGCTGAGTTCCCTGATTCCGGGCCACTATTTATGACCCTTCATTACTCTGGGCTGTCAGGATAAATACGGTTGCGTCATTCTACTTACAGGACGAACCCCAGCTGAAAGAGATCGTTTTTAGGGCAAGTGCAAAGTAAAGGCTCTTCTACGTGGGGTTAGGAACAAATTGTTGTTAAATTAGCAATTATTCAGTGATTAATCAATTGTGTTTTCCTCGTGTCTCGAAGGTGTTAGGTGCGTTCGAATATCAGTCTTCAAATTACAAACAAAGATACAGAAACACACACATAGGGCTAAGAGCTTACAACAAAAGAAAGAAGCATTAAGAATAATTTGTTCATTAAATGCATAATGTAAAACAAAGCGCAATTTGCAATGTGGCATAGCAGAAATAATTTTTGAGAACGAAACAATTTGCATGCAATTAAAATTTGAAAATTTCAGGTATTTAATTCTCTTTTGTTTGAGATTTCATCTTTGTTTGTTTTCTTCTTTAATTCTTTTTTTTTATTTTTTTTTGTTTTTGTCATGTTTTACAATGTTTGCACTTAAATCGTATTCTTTTTTGTTTGCTTCCTTCTTGCTGAGCACTCTTAGTCCATGTTGTGAAAATTGTTTGCGTGTTTTTCCAATCAAAAATTTACACAAGAACTTATAGACAATTCGAGGAGGGGACAGAACACAAACATAGAACAATGACAATGGACTTGACTAGAGGATATATAATGGTAGATGTGGCTGAGCTCTCAACATGGCTTCATCCGTTCTTAAATGACTAGAAAAACGTTTAACGTATGTATGTATATATATAGATAAACATTAAAAATAATTGCTAATTTCCAACAAGTTGTTTCTAGACTAGATTTTGGCTGTGTCTGTTTTTCTTTTCTTTGGTTTTGTTCGAGGACTGAGGATTTCGAAAGAAAAAGTGTGTAGTTCAGGCTACCTTGATGGAGAAGCTGCCGTTGGGTATGTCCTTGCCGCCGAACTTCACGTTGATGTCATAGTCGCCAGGATCGTTCAGCGCGTACAGGATGTCGAAGAAGCCATCCTTCTCGACCACATCAATGTCAACGATCTCGCTATTAAGTTAAGAGAATAATAAATATGTATGTTTATTAAGAACAGAAAGTATAAGAATGTATATCGAAGGGAAAAGTCCGATAAGATATCGAAAATATAGTAGTTTGATTGATCGATATTTTAAAAAATCAAACAATATCGATTTAAAGACACATTTATGTTCGGATAATATCAATATTAAAACGTTAAATATGAATGTCTATCCTAATAAGTCCAGGTATAGCAATGTATATCGAAAGGAAAAGTCCGATAAGATATTCAGAAAACACTATCAAAAGCGATAGCATAATGAAAATATAGTAGTTTGATTAATCGATTTTTGAAATATCAAAAATGTAGTTAAGATTGTTATATCAAAAGTTAATAAATAATAGTACTAAAATATATTAAACATTAATTTAATATTGACATAAAATATTAAACTTATCTAATTTATCAAACAGAATATCGATCTATCATACTGTTGTATATCGTAATATTAAAATATACATTTATAGTAGATGTTAATATATCGATTTATATATAAACTTTGCCGATTTTTATATAAACTTTTGGCAGATATAAATCGCTATTTTCTGATTGCCCTTATCTAGTATAAACGCAGACAGTCCTACCTTCCCTCCTTGTTTGTGATCTTGCAGGTAACAGCTCCATCGCCTGCCTCGCGGGCATCCACCTTCAGGTGCGACTGACTGCCCGACGACTGGATCTTGGGCGCCTGCTCCACCAGCTTGCACTTCTTGGCCTCGCCGGTGGGGAATGCTTCGAGTTTGAAGGGTGAGCCCTCGATCTCCTTGTCGCCGTACTTGATGCTGCACTGGTACGTTCCGCACTCGTCCGGCACAAAGGACACCACATATGTGCCCTTGGTGACTTCCTCCAAGCGCGGCTGCATTGGCTTGCCCTTGGGATTCTTGATGGCCACATTGATGTCCGCCTGGCCGGCTTGTTTCGTATCAATCTCGAATTCGGCAGGCAGAGAGGCAGGCGTTTTCTTCTTCTCATTGACACCCTTCACCTTGACCTTGGTGGGCTCGGACTTGGGGAAAACGGTCATCACAAATGGACTGCAGGGGAAGATTATAATGTGTAATGGGAATTTCAATAAGAGTTGCTTTCCTTGGTCAAATTAAACTTAAATCTATTAAGAATAAATTTAAAGTCCATTAAAAATACTAATTTAAAGCAAATTAAAGTGTTTTTTGATTTCAAAATGATAGTTTTTTATGTCATTTGTACTAAAATACGCTCGCAAGATGGTAGATTTTTATGGCCAACAAAAGATTAATCTCTAAAAATATTTGTTTTCAAATCTATAAATATTTAATGAAGTGAACAAAAATTCTTTAACCTTGGGATCGTTCCAAAAAGTGTTTTAAAAATAGAACTTGAAAAATTGGATGACGGTTCAATAAAACTTATCGAAAAAGCTGGGCATTATTATAGATTTCCAATATTCAAAAACTAAATCGAACTCACCTGCATGGCACCTCCACCTCGGAAAACTTCACCTGGCAGGTGAGCACGGAGCCCGCCTTGGGCGGCACATAGTGCACCGCGTAAATGCTGTTGCCCTTGTCCTCAACGCGCAGATTGTCCACGGGTATGCCCTCGGAGTTGGTCAGCTTGACGGCGATGCGGCCAGGACCAGCCTCGCCCACATCCACGTTGAAATAGGTCGGCACGCTCTCGCGCACCTGACCGTGCTCAATGCCCGGTCCGTAGACCTTTACCTTGCTGGGATCCACCGTCTCCTCGACGAGCACGCGGAACGGAGAGCCGGGTATGTGCTTGTCCGCAAACCGAATGGTAATATCATACTCTCCCGGATCGGTGGCCAAGTAGTCCACGTCACAGCTGCCGTCGCGATTGTCCGTGCAGGTCATCTTGGCCTCCGAGGGACCCTCGATGGCCAGCGACAGGCCGCCGTTGCCCGCACCCTTGGTCTCCACGGTGAACTTGTTCTTCTGATTGGTCAGACCCTTTTCCAGACCCGGACCGTAGGCCTTGCAGCGTGCCGGATCGCAGCCGCTCTTCACGTTCACCACGAACGGGGAGCCCGGCACCGGGATGTTGTCGTACATCAGCTCGATGGTGTGGCGGCCAGCCTCGAAGGGAGTGTACATGATGCGGAAAATGTCATCGGTGGGTCCCTGCACAATCTTGCTGGGCAGGACATGGCCCATGGGATCGAAGATGGCGCAGGACAACTTGCCAGAGTCAATGTTGCTGCCCACCTTGCTCATGTCCACCATGAAGTCCGTGGCGGCATTCATAATAACACCTGGAGAGGATTTCAGAGTTAGTAAGGGTCTACAATGGATTTGGAAATAATAAACATCAAGACAACATCAAACAATATAAAAATGCAATTAGAAGTAATGGTAGAGGGTAATCTATGATAGTACAAAAAGACTCGAGGATACCTTTTTACCTTAGGAATCATGTTTGCATTCTGTTTACTTTTATTTAAACACTAAATATAGAGTTTCTAGAGGAAACGTTCTATGATATATCGATAAAAATATAAAATCGAAAATGTCTTTAACTTGAATATATCGGTATTATCGGAATTTATGATAATTTCTTTATTTTCATTTCAAGTAATGATGATTTTAAACTAGATTGATGCTATTTGGTCAAAATTTGATATATAAAATGAGAATATCGATTTATTACACCGTTAAAATATCGATTTATACCATATATCGACTTTTGTGGCACATATCAATACAGTATCGATATTTCCTTTCATTATTAGCGCTCTCCTTGGCCTTGAAAAGCTATTTAATTTAATAAAAAAAAATGTTTAAAAATTTAATTTAATTTAAAAGCACTCTCTAACCCGGTCAGAGTTAAGGACATGTCTTTTAAAGGCCGAAATTTTTGGAAATAAATAATTTAATATAATATTAATTTAACAGAACAAATTCCCACAAAAGCTATACCTAACGACTCTGGCGATTAGTGTTACTTGTATTAGTTCATATCAAACACAGGAGAAGGACAACAGCAGAACAACAACAACAACAATGGGCGGGCATGGCGAGGCGGCGATTGCTGCAAGCAACCTTGGTCAGAGGTGGTGAGTAGAGCGCAGAAGAGGATTAGATTAGAGCTGGGCGGCAGCGGCAATAGTCGGAACACTCGGTAATTGGCAACTGGAACTCCTCATAGCCTACCATGCGGCTGGATGCCGATGCCACTGACGCGGGTATTCTTCAGATTCGGTACGGGAACGATCAGCGGCTGGAATGGCGAACCGTTGATGTGCCGCTCGTTGAACGTTATGTTGACACTATAATCGCCCGCCTCTGTGGGCAAATAGGCCACATTGCAGGTGCCGTCTCCATTGTCCCGGCAGTTAATGGCCGCCTCACAGGGTCCCTCAACGGTCACGCCCAGGCCACCCTGTCCAGCGCCACGGGTATCGATCATGAACTCCGCCGGCTGACCCACTATGCCGCGTTCTAGGCCAGGACCAAAGGCCTGTACCTTGTTGGAATCACTGCCCGTGAGGCACTGCAGCCGGAAGGGGCGCGGCGTGATCGGGGTGCCGCCAAAGCAGATGCTCAGCAGGTACTCCCCCAGCTGGGTGGGTGTAAAGTTAACCAGAAATCCCTCCGCCGTGGGTATGATGTGGGCCTTTACACGATTGCCCGACGGACTGGTGATGGTCACCGCCAGGTCCGCCTTGGGCAGGCCGTGGGTGATGATCCGGAATTGCTGCAAACTATTCAGGGGCGCGGCTTTTGTTGTTTTTTTTTTTGGATGAACAAAATGATGGTGACTTGGACTTAGACCATGACGCACTCAAGATGGGCACTTCTAAAACTAATTCGCTTTGCCTAATCTACGGATACTTACTGGGCTCCAGTCCGTCCACCTTGATCTTGGACACATCCACCGTCTGCTCCACAACGACCTTCTGTCCCAGTGGAACTCTCTGGCCGCCGTATGTCATCGTGGTGGTGTAGGCACCCTTGCTGGGCGGAATCACCTCCACCGAATAGGTGCTGTCCTCGTTGTCAATGATCCTGCAGGGCACCTCGATCTTGGTCTCCTCGTGGATAACCTTCACCTTCAGCTCTGCATCGCCAGCCTCCCGTGCGTCCACATTGAAGTGAGTGGGCACATTGGGACGCACGCCGGGCTGCAGCCAAGGTCCAAAGGCCTGGACCTTAGCGGCATCCACGGGAACGCCGACATAAACGCGATGCGGTGAGTTGGGCGTGGAAACTCCACCATAGTTCACTGAAAAGACGATTGGAAAATAATCATATAACTTCGTTTTTTATAACCAAAGATCAAGACCCACCTTCAACGGTGTGTGGAACTCCCGAAGTGGGCGTATAGGTGACCTTCTTGGTGCCATCGGGATTGTTCTTCAGTTCCACGGGCAACTTGGTGCCATAGACATCCTGGACGACAACGTCCAGCGGGGCATTTCCCGCCTTGCTGGTGTCCACACTGAAGCTAGTCGGCTGATTGATGGTCACGCCATTCTTCTCAAGTCCCGGACCAGCGGCCTTGACCAGCTCCGGATGGAAGTCAGTGCGCGGCAGGATCTGTGCAATGAACGGCGACTTGGGGATGTCCTCGTTGTCGCACAGAATGTGCACGGCATACTCGCCGACGGCAGTTGGATGATATTTGACAAGGGCAGAGCCATCGCCGTTGTCATGGCACTCAATCTCGGCCTGCGAGGGACCGGCCACGGTGAACCCGAGGGCGCCCGTCTCGCCATTGGTCTCCACCACAAAGGCAGCCGGGTAGCCAATGACGCCACTGCTTAGTCCAGGTCCGTAGGCCACAATCGAGGACTCCTTCTTGGGTCCCACCTTCACCTCGAACGGCGACTTGGGCACCTCCTGGCCGGCAAAGGTCACCATGATCACGTAGCGACCCTCCTTGGTGGGATAGTAGTGGCACTCGTATGTGTTACCATCCACCTTCGATTGCATGACGTTCTGGTTCATGCCGCCCGGACCAATGACGCGCACCTCGGGCACACCCTCGCCGGCTCCCTCGGTGTGGATCTTGAAGTCGGCATCGTCGCCGACGCGAACGCCCGTGGCCTGAAGGCCTCGGCCGGAGGCGCGCACCTTACGCGCATCCGACAGCGGGGCCACCTTCACCGGGAACGGACTGTTCGGAATGGGTGTGCCGGCGTAGAAGACATTCACCGAATGCAGACCCTGCAGAGCAGTCACATACTCGCAGCGCCACGTATCGTCCTCCAACTGACGCACCTTGGCTGCCACCGAGGTCTTGTGGTTGGCGGGATCGATGATGATCACCTCGGGCACGCCGCGACCCGCATCCTTGGTAAGGATGTCGAAGAAGGTCGGCTTCTTGATGGTCACGCCGTTGGGTTGAATGCCGGGACCCGTCACCTTTACCTTGGAGGCATCTCCGGCATGTCCCTCGACCTTCACGGGGAACGGGGACTTGGGGATGTCGCGACCGGAGAACTTTACGGCCACCTTGTGGGGGCCCTCGGCCTTGGGTATGTAGGAGACCGTGTAGGTCAAGTTCTTGTCGTTGTTGAAGCGTACATCAGCCTTCTCGATCTCCCCAGTGGGTCCCTGGATGTCCACATCCACATCACCTGAAGATTTAATGAAGCTTAGAATAGATTTAGGTTTGAAAGGGATATCATTAAGGACTTACCCTTGCCCGCCGAGAAGGTTTCCACGGTGAAGTTGGCCGGGGCTCCGACCACAGGACCAATGGGTTCAATGCCAGGACCATAAGCACGCACTCTGCGGAGGGAATAGTAAGGTATATGTAAGTAAGGGAATATATTAAGAAGGCGTAGGTTGAGAGCTCTACAAAGCCAGTATTTTTGTACAAAGAAACTACATTCAAAATTACTCAAACAGCAGCCCAGCAGCGGGTTTAACTTGGCTTTCAAATGCTTTGCAGAGAAATTGTGAAATATTTACAAGATATTAAAGCATTATTTGATGCTTCTTAAGTATCTTTAAGATATTAAAGCATTCTAGAATTGTTAAAATTAGAATAAAATTTATAAATTCAAAATGAATTCAGTGGCGCCAAGCGGCAACTTGTGGTATTACCAAAGCAAGATATTTTGTGCAACATACTTTTTGGCTGCTTTAGATTTTTCTCAGCAAATAATTTACTTTATTTTTGTGAAAATTGGGGGTATAAAATTTAAATTGAATAAATTAATCATTAATTATGATTTTACTGCCTTGGAAAAAGGAGTTTAAAAGCTTATTTCTAAGCTTTTTCTGTTCCAAAAATTGAGTAAAAGCATAAATAAGTAAAGAGTAAAAGTTGTAAATCAATAAATAAAATAAAATTCTTTTGATGTTAAGCCTGGCTTTAATGGGCTTATTTTTAAGACTAATTATTGCCATTGATCTCCTCTTACGGTCAGTTAAATTCCAAAATTAAATCTCAAACCGTAAAGTTGGTTTTTAAAACTGAAGAGCCGATCAAAGAACGATAAATCTCGGGCCTACGGACGCTGTACGAGCAGAGAGAAGCATGTGATTCCACCAGCTCTTGGGGAGCGCTGCTGGCCAAGCAAAGCAACAAATTAAATACGGCGTCGGCCAAGATGAATGCGTTTAGTGAGCGCTAATTGTAGCCAGCAATAAAAGCCGCTAGCGAGCAGGGCAGCAGAGCAATACAAACAGGAAAGCGGCAAACAGCGGACAGCCTGTCAGGCGGCGTTGAAGTATCCATTAGATACGGATCGCTCTGGGGCTAGCCGGCAACAGTAACCGAAACTCTGTGGTGGAACATTTAAATCATCCAATGCCATAACATAAAGTAGCCGAAAAGAACACAGTCGATAAATTAAAAAGCCGAGAAACAAGCGGCTAAGAACGTAGGCCAAAAAGAAAAGAAGTGGCCCTCAAAAAAGATCAGAACAGAAACAGAAACAGAACGGAAAAGAGGAGGCATGCCGAAACTTACCGCGGCGGAGGAATGCTGAGTTTTGCATTTTTTTTTTAAGGCGTTTAATAAATATATATATACATATATATTGGGTTTATGTATACGGAGCGGATAGGGAAACAAGAACAATATCCAAAATACATTAACAACGGAGGTAGAAATAATATATTGAGAGTTGTTTAGAGAAAGAGAGAGGGAGAGAGAAGAAAGAGATATAGAGTCTGGATTAGAATCATTAAAAGTGCAGGACATTCGAAGGACTAAAGAATAGAATTTGGAATATACTCGAAAAGAAAATACAACGCTGGCTATAGATGGGGCTAGTGGAGACGAACTTCTTTAGCTCGAACTGAAACTGGATTGATTAAAATTAACTTTTCGACTTTTAGGTGTCAAAACAACTTTCAAAGTTATGCCAAAGATTTCCAAGAAATCGAGGAGTTTATGGCTTATCATAAAGTTCTAAGACTTTCTTATACAAATCAGTAGAAAGGCTTCTAGTAGCACAAAGGCTAAGAATATATTTACAAATTTTATTCACTTAAAACTGGATTTTGTTTAAAAAAAAAACATAATTTATTCGAAACTCTAAATTGTATTTGAAAAATCAATTAATTATATAAAAAGAAATTTCTTCCACTTAAAACTGGAGGTTGAAAACACATGTATATATGTTTTAATTCTAAATTTCCATTTAAAAAATCAATTAATGATATTAAAAAGTTATAAATTTATTTCTATTCAACACCAAACCCTTAGTTAAAAACTCAGTTTCGACTTAAAGAAGTTCGTCTAAAAATTCTCAACGTTTCACTTACCTATTGGGATTCGTCTTGGGCCTCAAGGGAGCACCGGTCTTGAGCTTGGAGTTGGGATACTGCGACAGATAGGTCATCATGGACTGCTCATCCACATTGGGATTAACCAGCTCCTCGGGCTTAATCAGCTGACGCACATTGAGCCAGTCATCGGCCAGGCCCATGGCCTCGGAGGCATTCTGGACGGCATCCTTGGGATCCCACATCTCCCAGTCGGGACAGAGACCGGGAGCACAGGCATCCACCAAGGCGCCCACCGCCTTGCCCGTGGTCCAGTCATTGGTGAAGTTGTTGATGGGCAAATCGGGTATCTTGGCGTGGATCCAGTTCAGCAGGCTGTCATAGAGGAGAGTGATTTATATTTTTTAGTTACAGGAGTAACTTTTGGTGGGTTGGCCTGCCAGTTCTTCTTCTTACCGCTGCTTGGGCGTGTGGCCAGAGCCGTTGAGCTGCTTCTCATCGTCACCATCCCACATGGGCATCGATATCGAGTAGTGGAGAATCAGTGTCCATATCAGGCCCAGTATCAGTTTCAGCTTACAGTCCACAATGTCCGAGGAGTCTGCGGAGAAAGAAGGGGTTGGATGATCGGTTTCGGATTACTTTGTTGGCCAGTGGACAAAACCAGAACGTGGACCGTTACCGGTTCGTATACTTAATGTAGCTATTAATTGCCCTGACAACTACAGTGGCTGCAATTGCAACTGTCACTGGCCACACTCCAAAGCGGCGGCTGCTGCGAACCTGTTGCCATTCGACAAGCTGCCAATTATGGCCGGAGATGTCCGCTAACTGTTACAGCCACTTTGCCTGATGGTCAAGTTCAGGGCTGAGGTTGAGATAATGCGCGCAATCAACTTGTCTTGCCGGTTTTCAGCCCGACGCGCGACCTTAAACTTGGCCACAAAAGCCTGCGCTTCGAGCATCTTTTGTCATGCTAAAACGGCCGTCGTTCCCCGTCTTGGGTTTATTGAACCTCGCAGTCCAATCATTAATAGCGTAACACCGCAAGGTGAAAGGCGTGGACATTGGTTCTACTGATTGCCTATCGTCGATTAGTCGACACCTGGAAACCCTTGGCAAATGCATTTGGCACGCAGCACCGACTGAACCATGACGCGATTGAAATTCCGCCTCCGCCAAGCGGGAAAGTTGTCACAGGGAGAAATACATGGCAAAAGCATTTGGCCCAGTTCCCAATTTAAGTTGGATTGGGTTTATTGGTTCTTTTTATAAGCCATAAAGTGAATATTAAATAACAACATAAATCTGACTTTATGAGCTTTAAAGAGATTTCTTGGAGATAAGAAAAGCTCTTAGGAATTTGAATAGTAAAGTTGTTAATTTAATTTATTTATTAAATATGCAGCCACTTTGCTCTATTCCTCACACAAAATCTAAGTAAGGCTCATAACTTGTACCTTGTAAAGGTCTAAAGTAGTACAAAATTGTGCTCTGTGTGGATCTTTGCCAGCGATTGTAACTGAATATGCCAAGTGACGACAGTTCCCTGAACTGACGTACTACCTAAATGTTCTACATTTCTCTTTGTTTTCCCCCCAGAGGGCTTTCTTTCTAGAAGCACTGCACTTTTTCTTTTGTTTCTCCTTTTATTTTTCTTGGCCTGTTCAACGAGCCGTTAAACGATTGCTGATAGAGCCAGCTCTCTTACCCACTTACTACGCCCGCAACAGCAATAACCACTTTTTTTATAATTTTTTTTTTTGCACTGAAATTTGCAAATGGCTTTGTTTACTTGAGTTGCCGGCCACCGGTGGGAGACAGAGAAACCGGCTGGGCGGGTTGGCCTCTCCTAAAAGCCATCAAATTGCCGGTCATCCTCTGCTTTTGGCCATTTAAAATACTTTTACGGTCGACTGACGCCTTGACAAATGAATTAGCTGCCAATCTGTAAGCCCAGCCCGCTGACATATTTATGAAAAATTACTTCAAAGCCAACACTAGTTGCTGTAAAAGCTACACATAGCCAGCTTGAAAGAAAGCAGCAATTAAAACGGCATTGCAGAAGAAAAAAATCACTGAAGATGGCTAAATAAATAAATAGCCAGAAATGATTTGGCTAATTAGGCAGCAGCAGTTGGCATGCCAATCCACGAGCCTCTTCGACAGCCACTGTCTTTTTGGCCAAAACTCCATTCCAACTGGATGTCTGTCTGCGAGTCTTTGTGGTGTTCAAACTGGTTGTCAACCCCGCCAAAGTTTGTTTTTGGCATGGCAGCGCGAACAAGAAAATTTGCTGTAAATTATATAGAAATATGCTAATGTCTGGAGGGGAGAGGAGCCAAAGGAGAATGAAGAACGGAGCACGAGATGCCATAATACGAATATGTAATGCATATTAACCAGGGAGGCAGGCTACTCCAGCTCTAGCTTCAGCTCCATCTCCATCCATATGCATAAGTGTAAAGATCGCGGAGAACGAGTGGAAGAGAAGCTTCTCGGAAGTGGGAAATCTAATCCAAGTAGAACTCTTCTGTTACCATATGCATGATCAAACACAAGTGCGATTGGGGTCAAAGTAATTCAAGAATTCTTGGAATGCAGAAAAGGCAACTAATGCGCATCTATATAACTACGATATTGGTATGTAATAAGTACTTATGGCCAGGAATGGTACATCCAATTAATTTGATAAGAAAATACAGCTATTAAACCTTGAACTGAAATTCTTTTTAAATGATTTTCCATATATCTCAGTCCTTAACAAAATATACAAAAATATCTCATTGAAAATAGCAAGCCAAAAACAATCTAGAAAACCAGGAAACCATCTAATAAACCTATATACAGCCTAGATAACCCCAGAGTTTAGCCAAGATAAGTTTATCTTGTACCCGAAACATGAAGTCACCCCTCAAGGCTGCTTATCTTTAAGTGATCTTGATTTCTTTACCCAACAAGATGCCACAAAGAGCAGTTAATTACTAAAATAATCATTGGAAAGTTCTGGGAAAGTATTGCTCGGATAAACAATCTATCACAATTTCGCTGTCATTGTCCACTGCAATCGGATATGTCCACCCAAAAAAAATAGGAAAAAAATAAAAATAACCAGAGGCAGAGCTCTAGACCAACTACAGAAGCTACACTCGGATCGTTTGGCCATGCCAAATGATGACTTGACATGATTTATGTGCAACGATTCTCGCCTCGTTGCGGCCCCAGAGTTCCAGAGTTATTATGATGTTAAGTGCAACGGCAGAAAAGTATTTAACATTCAGATAACAAGAATGCTGAGGCTGCTGCAGCTCCAGCTCCGATACCGAGGCCACATAGACAGACGTTAATGTTGCTATCCGCTTCCAGTCACAGTCACGGGTAACCGGCTTGGGTCTGGGTCACAGAGTCGCCAGACACGTTCTTGGAGCGGCGGCACGCGCATACCACAGCCCCGGTGCTGGAGTTGGAGTCGGAAAAGCAGCTGTGGCAGCGTCTGGAATGATTTTCCAAACGGAAAAACCAGTTTCCGTTCTCGGTCTGAGGCCAAACATCTATAGAGACGCGCCTAACTGTTGCGTGGCTAATTAAATTAGAGCCCGGGCAGGGCTAAGCTGCAAAAATCGTTGACACTGCTTGGCTTAGAAAGTCGGAGCCTGTCGGCCTCTGCCTGACACTTTAAGCCGCTCAGACTGAGCTCCATTTTCGGGCATATTTTCCTACTATGTGGGTTTTGTCTTTTTGTGTCCCACATTCCTTGTGTGTGGTGCTGGTGTCTTTGTAGTTTTTCACTTGTTTGGGGTTAATTGAGCCGGGTCTGGGTCTCTCCTCTCGGAACGATCTCTCCTAATGGCCGCCAACTTTTGCTAATTTAAATAATTGACCGAAGACCAAGTGGAGAATCTCAACATTCCGGCGCTGCAATGCCAATGAAGCTCTCATAACAACTTAATCTTATCACAATTGCTTTTCGAGTGTGACGACGAATGGTTTGGTTTTGGTTCCCATTCCCATCACTTCTATTTTCAGCCGGTGGATAAGACCCTGAGAGGTTTAGCCAGAGCTCAACGGTGACGTGTCCGGATCGATGGCGTCATATTGAGGCATTGCAAATGATTTATAAAAACACCGGTGAGTACGTGCCGGGTGATCAATGCAAGTATCAGAGTTAAAAGTCGTGTCATTTTTGGGTTCGAGCTATTCAGCTGAAATTCATCGGAAATTCAAGATAGTATTACCTTTCGTTCACAGCTGATTCACCCTTTTGTTGTGATGGGATTCAACAAATAGGCAAATATTCAAGAAAAAATGCTAAGCTCGCTAACGGAAGCTTGTTAACACGATCTTAAACAACACTCTGACTAATTTGTTAAGTATGTTATATGCTTTGGGTTTGAAGAATTTCTGATTACGAGGAAATCATATTTATTTTAAACACTTATCTTTATCTTGAAATATGTTCTTTAATATGTTACTAACCACAATAAAATGTATATTGTTTTATTTATATATTTAAAATCAATCATGCTTTACGCTCTCTTAATAAAATATTTAAAGAGAAATCTCATATTTCAATTAATCTGCTGCCCCTGTAAAAATCCACACATCATGGGAAATATTCAATTAAAAATATATAAACATCTTTCAATATATGAACAAATTATTAACAAGCAAACAACTGAAATGAAATTGGGTCAAATGGATCATCAAGAGGCTTCTATTTAGTGATATATTTGCTTGACTCATTGCCTGGCAAAATCTTCTATGTCGTCCTTCATAGATTCATAGATAAATTTAATGATGTTTTGGGTGTTGCTGATGATGATGGCGTCATCAATAACAATCAATTGTCTGTGACAAATTGAGCCTGACTTGATAGGAGCCATTAGGCAATGGAGTTTTCTTCCAAAAACTTTAGGCAAAATATTAAAGTAAGCCCCGAAAGCCCAAAAACCAGATGATGTCGATGATGATGATGTCATGGAGAGTCAACTGAGCGACTTTATCTCTACTCTGCCCGGCACGTATTAGGTTTTATTCTTCCCTCTGCTTTGTACTTTTAATTTTGTTATTCTTATTTGCTTATTTCTGTGGTTATTTTTCTTACTTTTTGCATTTTATTGCGACAGCCCGAGAGGCTTTATTATTGTTTTTGTGTGGATTTTTTAGCGCAAACATTTGTAGATACGACCGGCGCTCCATGGAAATCTACAATCCGCCTTGGAGCCCAGCTCGGACAAGCTCTTGAGAAGCCAGCAGCTGCGTGGCACACCATGTGTGAGTGTGTTATATAGTAACTCCACGAAATTTCGCGCTAATTCAATTGACAGCATAAAAGTGTAGAAAAATAAAAAAATTTGGAGGACGGAAACAACCAAACACAGAAATGATCTGGTCGAGATACAGTGGGAACCCAAAGTGCAGGCCTGCAGAGTGGTAAATGCTTTCCAAACACTGAGAACCAAAAATTTCTCCGAATAGCTTTCACTGTACCAATTTAAATCGATTGACAACAGGAAGAGGTGCGGCGGTGCTCGTTAAATTAATTAACAATGTTTGCTTATAATTTTTTGGCTATTTGTGCAACGATAATCGCCGAAATTGGATGCGATATCTGTTTTTGGGGAGATGAGTGTTTGCCGAAATAACAAACGAGTAATTATTGGGAAAAACATGTTGGAATTCCTGCAGATACCGCCATTTAAGCACAAATTAAGCTAATGACTAAGGTTATTAAGTGAGTGAATCATCTCCCTGCAAATATTTTTCACTAACCCCAAATTTAAATCGCGAAATTCGAGTTGCTAGAGCAAAAACAAAATTCAGTTGTAGATATGACGGCGCCTTATCGCTAAACCAAAAGTCCAGAATGGATGATATTTTTATCGCACCAAAGCGAAAGTGTTGATAGCTTTACAAAAATACCTCCAAAATTGCGATTGTACTTTCAATAACAGAATGTCAGCCAGAAATTCGCTTTAAAAAGGTCTGAAAATTGCATTTACTTAGCTCTCATCCAGCTCGCACTTTTGTTTGACTTTCATTTTTCGTTTTTATCTACATTTTTGAGCGGTAAGAATCGCTCCCTTGTGCTGCTTGTAAACATTATTTACCTAGCTGTCAATTATTGACAAACGCGTTTTTTTTCTGGAACACCAAGATACTGAAAGTGTTTATCTTTTTTATATGGCCAAGTAAGCCCCTACCGAATGATCGTCGTCCGCTGATTGAGTTACTTCAAGCGTTCCGAAAACAAGGAGCGGAGAACGTCTTATCAATTGCGTCACGGGGTCATTAAGAGGAACCTGATTACATTGTGAATGAAATGTAATACCCGGGAGAATCATCCGCCGTCTGAATGCCTCAATGACCGACTGATCGTTGAGCTTGAGCTAGTCTACGGCACTGATTTGTGAATCATAAGGCCCCCATTCGCATCACATGCTTCTTTCTATATAGTTTTCAATTTAAATGAATTAGCAAGATGCAGTTAGTTTGCCATTGAGATCAAGTTCTGTTACGCTCGTGATTCGGCAATGGTTTATATAGAGGTGGTGATGGCTCTTTGAAAGCGATAGCACCCTAATGAAATTAACCTTCCCAATTGGCCACGCTTCGTAGCTACTCTCTTGTTTGGAGGTAGATGTATTTCGCATGTAGTATATCGAATTTATAGCCGAAAGTGTGAAATATGTGTGAACAATCGAAGTAAAGTCAATAAAAAGGAAACATAACCGTATGTTAAATAACAAAATAAATTGTTCTGACAGATTTGTTTCCGAAATAATATTTAAAGTTAAATTGGACTACAGCTTAGATAAAACTCATTTTTAGCTGAGAGCATACTGAGTTTACAACAAGTAAAACCAAATCTTCAATATCAAATCTGCTCTAATCCCCAAATACCCCTTTGAAGAGTATCTTTTGCTCAATCCGTTTGTCGCGTACTGTGCAGGTACTGCAAATTGCTGAACACAATCTTGAATTATGCATATAGTAAATACAAATGAAAGTAAAACTCGCATTGAAGCTGGTGGCGCTTTGAATAAATGCGGCAATGACATCATATTTTGTTTTGTAGTCTGGAAGCGAGCTAGCGAGCCGTTGAAAGCAGAAATTTCAAATAAATAATACAACACACAGATCCACGAGGGATCGTATGGAATGCAGCGGGTGACGCGGCGGCGGATCTGGTGTTAACTCGAGACTCTTGCGGCGTTGGCGGCGGCGCATCTTTTGGTTGGGTTTTGTATCTTCTCATTGAAAAGAGCAAATTATGCAATTTTCAATGGAATCATTATTGATGGCCAACGAGGCGAGCGCTTCTAATTGATTCATAAGCTGTTTCACAACCACAATTGTGCGGTTTCAAACTATTAGAGATAGAGAGAGAGATACGAAGACCCCCCAACGATATCCGAGGGACAGCCCAGCCCAAACTAATCCGAGAGTTCTGGGAACTTTGCATGGGGCTTCTACTACTTACCAATGTTAACGATTTTGATACCCTCATCCTGGAGGAATTTCAGGGCCACCGAGACGTTCTCCAGCTTCTGGCTGCGGAATGTTGGGCGTTTGTTGTATTTGGGCATCCGCTTCTGGGACAGCACTTCGATCAGCGCGATCAGACGGAGACCATCGGACAGATCCGTCTCCAGGTTGTTGATCGACCGATCGATCGTCTTCAGGTGCTCGTTGGCCCACCGGGTGAAGGTGTTCTGTTGGATCTTCTTCCACTGTGCATCCTCGGCGAGATCGCGTTCGGCCTCCATGTCCTCGTCGAAGTTCTCCTCGTACTGATCCGCCTGCTGGCCCTCCTGGTGCTGTTGATAGTAGTCGTTCGTCTGTGGGTTAACGATTGGTCAAAAAAGCGGGTTAGCCGGGTTTACAATATGGGTGTGCCGGGAAATCAAAATGCGTCTGTGAGTGTGGGATGTCGCTACTTCGAAAATCACTTAGCAGTCATGCAAAAACGATCTCCATTAAAAACTACCAACTCCAGTCCTGGAGGCAAAGAGCAAATTGAATCGAATGGCGTCGACTCCAATCAGATCGGATCGGATCGGATCGCACAAGGTGTGGTGTCGGCCAAGTCTTGTTCCAGTTTCGCTTGGGCTCACCACCAGAACTTTAATGTCGGCGGTGTGTTATGGAGTGGAGTGGACTGTCCACTTTCCACACATGTCCCGCAGCCAAGTGGCAATCAAGAATCAAAGAAATGTCAAGCACAAACGGCACTCAAATACACTTTTTTATAGGGAGGCTATCTTTATTACTTAGGCTTAAAATTCTAAAGGTACATCATTTTGCAATTTGTTTAGGTAGTTAAAGGAGTTTACTAAAATTTTATTAGTAGTCTAATAAGTTGGTTAATTACCTATAGATATCTATACTATCTTTGGACCCCAGAGAATATCTTACAAGAATGTCAACCAGATAGCGTTTTATTTATCATTTATTGCAAAGTTTTATCGTTAAGATAAATCCATATCGATTCATTTAAGGAATATAAAAGTTATTTTGATAAAGGAAAATGATAATAAAACAATTTTAGAGTATGCCCTCTGATCTTAATATATTTTCAACCTACAAATCTTTAATTATATTTAGTATTCAACTTTATTACCCTAAACTTTCATAACTTCAAGAAGACTCATTAATTTTCTCTCTAAAATTAGAAATATAAATATTATAATTTAAAATCCATTTTAGGAATTGAATGTTTAAAATTAACTCTTTAACAATAGGAAGAAAACAGAACTTAAAGAAGATTGATTTACATAATAACAGAATAAAAGACTATATTTTAGAGGTTCGGCTTTTCAAACTGATATATTTCGTCTTGGAAATTTGTCTTATCTTCAGTCAGCGAAACTAGTTCCCAGGTAACTCCGTCTTAACCCATTGTCCACCAAACTTCACCAAAAAGTTCCCAAAAAAAAAAAGGGTATACAGGTCGCGAAGAGCGAGCACAAAACGGAGGTGGAGAGGAGCGGGCAGAAGACGAAGACGCCGGACAAGGGCGGGCAAAAAGAGCGAGACCGAGTTCGCGTGCCACACACAAACGTAGTCGTTGTTGTTGTCGTCTTCGTCCCCAAAAACCCACAGAAATAGAGGGACCCCACCAACCCCCTCGTCCGTCTGGGCCAGGCCAAGAAAACATGGCTAGAAAAAGAAATTGGAGTGGATTGCTCGACTGCGCAGCGTGTGAAGTTCATTAACATTTTCATTAATTGCGAAATGCCGCGACAAAACGCAATGTGAACTGCAGCAATTAAAAAAGAGTCTTGCAGTTGTACGTCCAAAACTTGAAACTATCATGACTTAGCTGAAGATTATTATTATTATTATTATTTTTTCTATTTAAATGCAATTGAGTTGTTTCTGACTTTGGATATTTTTATGAACTGGACAGATTTTCACAATTTACATTAAATAACTAGAACTGTTTTTTTTCAGTTTAAGTAAAGTTGTCTTTGAATACGAACTGTTTAAAACTTGTAATATTTTTAATTTGAAACTTCAAGTACGAATTGCTTTTTGATTAATAGTATAAAAAACATTTCCTAAAAATTTTCTTGATAAAACGAAGATATTCCAGTTTCATATGCGCTAACTGTGCTTCAATTTCTTTTGTAGAAATAATACATTTTGTATTTTTTTAAAACACTAAATCAGACTTTTTATGCACTAATACCTAGATAGTAAAAATTTCCACGAAAAAAAGTTTTTTAAATTAAGACGAAGTTTCAAGTTATAGGGACGAATGGGACCCAATAAAGACTTTTTTGTTTTGTATTCCTAGATTTCGCTTATTGAGGAATCTTCACTGTAACCCACACACTCTCACAAAGGGACTCTCTCCCTCACGTGCACATATTACACACTCACACACACCTGTTGATAGCAAACGTCGTAGTGTGCGGCTGGCTGTTGGGCGTAGAAATTTAAGTTGCTGAAGTTTTGCTCTATATTGTTGTTGGCCGAATAAACACACGCGTTGCTTTGATTTTGTTGCGAATTTGGCGGGTTCTTTCTGCCGTGACTGTGGTTACCGTTGTTGTTATTACTATTGTTGTTGCGGAGAAAAATGGTCGCCTGCGTCGTCTGACCGTTTGTATAATTCGCGTTTTGCACCAATTCACCGATTCCGATTCCGCCGCCGTCCGATATTGTTGTCGATCCGGGACCGTCAGCGTCGTTATTCTTGCGCGTACCACCGTTGAATAAATTTTTTGACGCTAAAGTTTGTCGCACACCGGCATTCTCCATCGCCCTGTCTCCCTCTCCCTCGCAGTACATCTTGGCGGCCGGTTTGTTGTTGTTCTCTCTGCTGCTGATCAGCACTCGCGCTGTCTCGCTCAGCGCTCTCTTGTCTCCCACTCTTCCTCTTTCTTCTCCTCTAGCGCCTTGTTGTCGTTTAGCTTTTCAGCTGTCAAGTTTGTTTACCGCTCTCTCGCTCTTTCACAAATGTTTGCCGCTCTCGCTCTCGATCTGGCTCTCTCACGCAGCGCACGCACTGAGCGAAAAGTTCAAGCGTAGAAAAAAAACCAGTTTAACAAATAAACTCAAGTTCAGCGTGAGAACGTAAAGTGCAGTATTTTTTATTAATATTAAACTAATTTTTAATTATTTTCTGTGCTTCCGCGCTGAGCCCCAAAGTATGCAACAGCCTAAGCCATTGGAGGCGCTTATCAATATTGTTTATTAACGTTTTTTCCTCGAAATGTTTAAAGATATTGAGCTTTATATTTCCATTTTTTTTATAGGAATCAAGTAGGAGCTGCTACTAATAATACACAGTATAACCAGTGGCGGATCCACGGGGGGTGAAATTAGGGAAATTTCCCCCCCCTTGGAACCTAAAAATGTTACTATCTGGCATGATTATCCTAAATAATACTGTACAATTGGCACTATTGAGTATGAAAACACTCATCGCATGGTGACGTTTCATTTAAATCCGTTTATCTCGCCAAAAACGCCTCAACTTGACTGTCCAATAGAATAATTTTCTGTCGATAAGTTCAATTTCCCCCCCAAGAATCGTCTCTGGATCCGCCACTGGTATAACACTGAGATTACAGTTACATCAGAATCGAGAACATTTAACTCAAGAATAAATATTTTGGAGCTTTCTTTCTAAGAATTTTCTATATTTTATAAATAAACAACCAAAACTACTATTAAAAATATTTCATTCCTCAAAATTACACCCAAAATCATATGTTCCAACTATGGACAAGACAGAGGTAAGTTGCCAACTTAAGAAGTCTTTTATCTGGAAAAATTAAGAATGTATCTAATAGATACCGGGCTGCCGAAGCACTTCCTATAGCTATGGGACCGGGAACCCATTGCGATAGGAATGAGTACAGAATCATCTTAATGGCCAGTTCGAAGATTACAAAGTAAATTATCATATTTGGGACCGTTGGGTTGTTGAATCAGGAGACTTGGTTAACTGCATACACACACATAAAGTAATGAAGAATTTTAAGCATCACATCATTATCCAGGACACCAGGACCGAGAAGTTATAGCGAAGGCTAAGGAAGTTAAGCAGCTTCACCACCGTGGGCATCATAGCCAAGACGGTGGTCAGCCGGGCCCTGATCATATATAATTCTATTCTGGGTAGCTGATTGAGACGGTGAACACTAGTTGGTTGTTCAGGGGAAGCTTGACCTCGATGTCGGGGACAGCGGTGATAAACGTCAGGAGACCGGCTTCAGAAAACAAATCTAAAACTAGATGAAGACGATTCCACACACAGCATTACAAAATATGATTTGTATTCCTATTGGAGTTTTTTGGCAGCTTCATAGTATCATGGATTGTTTGATTTATAAATAAATACTTTTGATTTGTAATTCGTATTTATTTTTACTTTTAAATTATCATAAAACCTATTCTTATTCATTTAAATACCCTTGAAAAATTATTATCGCTTATTATATTCGCTTTAAGCAAAATTCAAGCTCAATTAAGTTGATTAGGTTTTATATATAAAAAATCAATATAAAACCAGTTTACGCTTAAGAAGGAATTATTTGTTGCTCATAAGGTAATTTAATGCAATGACTAATTGTCAGCAAAATATTTTACTGATTCAATCCACTACATTGTATCACGAATGAGGTAATAACCAGGCTTGATAAAAAAAACGAAACCAATATTTCGAATTATGAACCGTATTTCTCTGAAATCTAAAAATTGACCAAGCCCTCAAATCTCCAACTTGTGACCCTTTTCAAAGCGGGGACTCGATGCTAAAATCACCACAAAATAAAATCAAATGAATCACTCATTTCTCGCACACCCATACCCAAAAACCATAAAGAAGAGCAAATAATTCTGGTAAATATTTGGCATATTTGCGGATTGCTTTTGGCAATGCCTTTTTAATTCCACATACCCAGTCCCCGCCCCGCTTTTCACCTGGTCAAATGCAAAAACGAAAGGCAGACACAAATGCACGGAGACGGCCAGACAGACAGACAAGTGAATGAGCCAAGAAAATGGGGCCGACAACCAGCGACCTTCTCGATATGGTTAGGAATCGTTAGAATTCGTTAATTTTAGCCAAATGAGTCAAAGTCAAAGCGAGTAGCTATGGCTATATGGCTATGATCATCACACACGAATGACCGATGGAAGATCAAATCGATGTCTGGGGACTGCATAGAAACGCTTTTTGGCAGCGAGTCCTTCGCCAGGTTTCACTTAATTGATTCAAAAGTCTAAACTACTAAAAAGGACTTGGAATGGGGATCTATGTAGTCTCAATGTATGTGTTATGTTTACAAAAAAAGTAAGCACTGATTAATAAATAAATGTTTTAATCTGAAGATCATTTGATTTATAATTATAAATTTACGTAAATAGTTCCCAGACTTCTAAGTCGCGTGGAGCTTAAAATAGAACCACAAAAATTATATAAAAAAAACAAGAAAGGAAGCTAACTTCGGCACGCCGAAGTTTGTATACCCTTGCAGATTGGTTTTCATATTTATGTCATAAATTATAATGCCGAAAACAGACACTAAACTGAGTTACATACCATTTTACCTATACTTATTATGTTTACAGTTTGACAGTTACAGTTATACATTCCCAGCTTTACATTTTCTCTACATCTGCGGATCGCTTCTATGGCTGCTATATGATATAGTTGTCCGACTTTCATAAAATGTATACCAAAATTCTATAATAATAAGTAAAGCTCATACTCAGAGTAGATGAAAATACGTTGAAAAACAACGAAGTTATAATTTTTTCTATTACTTTCCCTATCGTTCCTATGGCAGCTATAAGATATAGTCGTCCGATTTTCATAAAATTTTTACCAAAATTTTGAAATAATACCAGAAGCTCATGTGTCAAAGTAGATTAAAATACGTTGAAAAACAACGAAGTTATAATTTTTTTGATTAATTTCCCGATCGTTCCTATGGCAGCTATAAGATATAGTGGTCCGATTTTCATAAAATTTTTAACAAAATTCTGGAATAATATAAAATGGCTATATCTCAAAAATGATGGAATAATATTGAAAAACAGCCAAGTTAAAATTTTTTTTCTAAAAATTTATCGAACATTTGTATGGCAGCTATATGATATAGTCGTCCGATCCGGCCCGTTCCGACATATATAGCAGTGAGAGTATATAGAAGACTATATGCAAAGTTTCATTCAGATAGCTTTAAAACTGAGGGACTAGTTTGCGTAGAAACGGACAGACGGACGGACAGACGGACAGACGGACATGGCTAGATCGACTCGGATGTTGATGCTGATCAAGAATATATATACTTTATAGGGTCGGAAACGTCTCCTTCACTGCGTTGCAAACTTCTGACTGAAATTATAATACCCTGCAAGGGTATAACAATGGTGAAAACTTTTCCATGATCGGGTAAAGTACTAAGGTTTGCTTAACTGTTTCCTTTCTTATAACTTGTTTCGCACTTAGAACCCTACCATTTGTGTAAACATTTAGTTTGTCAAAATTTGAAAAGTATAAAATGGATAAATTGTGTCAAAGATATATCACTGTAGATTTTATATTATCACGATGAAGTTCTTTGCTACACTTTTCCTTTTCTGTGCCATCGTTGGCTGTGTTCTGGCCTCTTCAACAACAAGCACTACGGAAGCATTCTCCGCTACTACGACTGAAACGGAAGCTCCTAAAGTGCCAGCTCCGCCCTGCGGAAAGGGACCCTGCGGCCAAAAACTTTACTTCTTTTATTAATAAACCAAAACAAGGATGAAATAAATATTTAAAAAAATATATACATATAACCAGCCAAGTTGCTCAATAATTAGATATTTATTTAAGGGGCTTAAGTGCTTTAGAGTCTATAAAATATTTTCTCTGTAAGGCAAGATAACCCTGAGTGATAAAAGATAAAATAAAATAATAAAAACAGGAAATCTGTAATAATTAAATATATATAAACCTAAGTGATTATATGTATATTAATACAAAAAATTCAAGAAAGCAATGGATGACACAATAAAATATATCAAGAGGTTTTTATTTGATTTTTTTCAAAAGCTTTTTTTTGTTTATTTCTTCTAGTTTGAATGAACTCGATCGTAAAACAAATAGGTAATCTAGGAAATCTATAATATGTCAGTTAACAAGTTAAAATACACCTTATGATCCCTACTGCTACATTAAAAAGTTAACACTAAATCAAATATATATTAAATATTTTCTACACCATTATTTGCCCGTATTTTAAGAAAATTTTCCCTTAAAGGCGAGTCGCTCTAGAAATTGACCCTAAAATCAGGGAAAAAAACGTTCTGAAGCCCAGGGCAATCTGTCTTAGAACCCAGAGAAAATGTTTCCTGTTTTTGAACAAATCAAATTACAAATTACTCTAAACTTTTTTAAAATTAAATATGCATTTTTCAAATATTTATAAAGAGCTTTTTAGTTTTATGGCTAAAAACCCATTAAAAAGAGAATGTTTTTTTTTTTTTAATTGAAAGGAAATTATTCCCGATTTTATTTATAATATATAATATTAGGGTAAGGTGGGGTAAAGCCGACAGTGTGGGTAAACCCGACCTCCCTCTGTTTTCGAAAATCGGAAGCACTACGCAAAATAATATTAGTGTTGTCGTGTAGAGCATCGAAAACAATGTAAATGGTGGTATGACAGCATTTTATTAGTCAACATTGAGATGGTCAAACGACAACAAGTTTGTTTTCACAATTTTGAATTTCATTTTTGTGCATAATTAACTGCAGGATATTTCTGTTTGTCAAAGTGATCGCATGAAAATTGTAAGTGGATTTAGATTCTTTGAATAAAGTCCTACAAAGTGCATATAAGTTTGGTTCATTTTTTTTCATAATTTCTTTTTTAATTGCGTTTTTATGAAAAATTACGTGGTGGGGCAAATCCGACCTCTAAATAGTGGGGTAAATCCTGCCGCAAAAAATCCAAAAAAAACAACAATCACACCAAAACCATCAACATCGCAGCCAACCAGACGTTTAACTCGAACCAAAAAACGCCAGCAAGCTATTTGAGCAGCGAATCAGATGATACTGATTAATTATTTTGCTATTTTAATTTTTTTAATTCTTTTATCTTTTATTACCATTATATAACATAACATTGATTGATTTATCATTGCAAAACCTATATTTAGGTTATATCTGTACTAAATCAACCAAAAACATAGGCGGTCGGGTTTACCCCATCATTTTTGAACATAGCAAAAATGAACTTTTTCGTAAAACGCTTGTATCTCAAAACTTTTCAACGGTATGAATAAAATGCTATGCATAGAAAGTTGCGCAAAAGTCTAACCTTTAATTTGGTATTTATAACGACTTGATCCGATGTAAAATAAGCATTTTATAGCCAAAACCATTTACTAGGTCGGCTTTACCCCACCTTACCCTAAATAGAAATGCAAAGCTTATTATTTTGTGTGTTTTTATATTAAAGTAAACACAGCTCTGTTGTCGTCGAGCTCCAAGCTAATCATTCTGTGATCTACCATAATTTAACATATTCCGGTTTTATTCCTCCTTAAATTATAGAACATTAGTTCCCAGACATATTATATATTTCTTTTGTTTAAATTCGAATTGTTGTAATTTTTGTAAACTGTAGTAGTTGTAATTTAGATTAATCCGCAAATAAAATCCCCCACTTGTGTCAACATTTGAAATATTAACATTCATGACAAAAGAAATGGTATGATTATAAAATAAAATAAAGTAATATATATAGTATAAACAAAATATAAATTGTATCAGCTGTCAGATCTAACGAATATTTGGCCAACTGGAAAGCTAAGATTGACATTAGTTTAGATAGCAAATAATATTAAATAATAATATATTTCTTTGGCATATTGGCCCAAATATAAATAAAACAAATATTTGGCCAACTGGAAAGCTAAGATTGACATTTGTTTAGATAGCAAATATAATATTAAATAATAATATATTTCTTTGGCCTATTGGCCCATCTGTAGTGTGTATTGTGGATCCTAAGATGAGAGATATAAAAGTGCACAATTTGCGAGTCAAAGTTATTAGTTTCAATCGAAAGATAACAACATGAAGTTTTTCGCCATTCTGTTCGTTTTGTGCGGCATTATTGGATTTGCCATTGCAGACCATCCGGGTTCGGGATCAGGATCAGGAACAATAGGAACAGGAACCGGAACAGGAACACTTATCACAACCACAACCAAAGCACCACCCTGTGGAAATGCATTCTGCGACCTACTTAAACCCTGCCGCGGTTCCAAGGAATGCGGCCAAAAACTTTATTTCTTTAATTAATGTGCTGTCTAAGGCATTTTTGGATAAATAATAAATATGTCAAGAATCTTTTCAACATAAAAAATATTTTTTATTGTGGAGGGAATAAATTTCATAAATCTGGGATTTTCCTCTTCAAAAGAAATGAAGTAAACTAGAATTTCCTTTAAAATAGAGCGGGTTTCGAACTTAAAATCTTAGTTGTGCTTAAATTTCTGGACTTAAAAATATTAGTAAATATTCAAGACTTTGTTTTTTCTTTTAATTAACCACAACAAAGGTTTAATTTCTAAAGATATGATTTTTAAACAGAATATAGAGCATCCTACTTATCCCGATTAATCCCAATTTTATTGCGTTCCATGTATCAAAAAACATGTGTTAAAAACGTCTCAAATGTACACAATTTCATTATTGATTTGACAATTTACTATTTGTCCAATTGTTTTATTGTTGTTTTAAAAGATTTAATTCGCAATGGCCCATTTGTGTCAATATGCTAGATGCTGAGATAAAATATATAAAACGACGCATTTTTATAACAAAATTATCAGTTTCCTCGTGAAGATATCAACATGAAGTTCTTCGCCACTTTCTTCCTTCTGTGCACCATATTGGGATCTGCGCTTGCAGCGACAGATTTTGGAACAGCTATAACCACGGAAGCCACAAGCGCTCCATCTGCAACCACGCTGGCTCCTGCTGCATCCCCATCCTCCCCCTGTGGACCTCAAGGACTCTGTGGCCTTCTCAAGTGCTTAGGCGGAGCCGGTGGATGCGGTCAAAAAGTATACATTTTCAATTAGAAAAAAATGTGAAAATGAATAAACAAAAAATATATTTAAAAAGATACCATTTAAATCGATTTAAAAATTCTAAGTTGGGTATTGATTTTAAAAGCAATAATTTATTTGTTCAAAAAATGTGTATTTAGAAATGAATGGCATGGAAAAACACAAAAGTATTCCGCTTTTCCAGATACATTTTCTAGATACATTAAATATTTGAAGAATCGCTTTGTTGTAGAATAATAGAAGTTGCTTTGTAAATATATTTAACACAATTGTGTCAATATTGGGTATAGCATACATATATCTTTCCAGAGCTTTTATACAAAAGAATTAGTGGGAAAAAAAGTTAAAAAGACGATTTATTTTTTGTGTCATTGTTGGATCCTTATAGGGCTTAGCCTTTATATATATATAGATCTTGATAAATCCAAAACCTAGGAAGCTGTCACAACAATGGCTTAACCTGACACTTCGACTTGGACATAGCTATAAGACTTCTTCTCTAAGAAATGTTGAATTTTAATGCCAAAAAAATATGTAATGAAATATAATCAGAATCTAGAAAAACCTATTTTGTACAAGTACAAGAAGAAATTGTTTAACAATTTGTCTAAAAGCTTTTCCTAAGTAAAGCATTCTTTTAAGGTTTTATCAAAACTAAATATTAAACTAAAATTGGTAAGTCTAGTTTAAAGGCCAAGTCAAAATTTATATAAAGTAGGCTGACATTTTTTTGTTGGTAAAAAGTATACTATATTTTATTACCTTTTTCGTTTCTAAGAAATACCGACACGCAAACAACCACCTTAAATATTTATCCAACTGTTTATTTGCATCTCGCAAATAGATTTCACGCAATTAACATATCTCTACATCTGGCTCGCTGAGATAGAAGGTATAAAATGGACCAATTTGGTTTATAAATCATCAGTATCTACAGAAACCTATTAAGATGATGTTCCTTAGCGTCCTCTTGCTTTTGTGCTCTTTGGCTGGATACGTGGCTGCCTCTTCCTATTCAACAACCGGGTCTTATGATTACTACAATCCTCCAAGCACAACTGTAGTTTGGGAGGATACTACAACCCCTAAGGCATCGCCATGTGCAGGACTATTCAATGGACCATGTGGCGGCAAAAAATTGTACTTCTTTTATAAATAAATCAATTTAAATGATAATTAACAAAATAAAAATAAATAAAATATAAACTGATTCTGAATATAAAATTAATCAAAATCTATTTTCATAAAAATAAGCAGGTTAAATAAAACAATAATTTGTGGAAATTCTAACGAAAATAGGCAAGTCTCAGAAGGTATTTTCTTTATACGTTTAAGGCAAATTATTTTAATCCGATGCAGGATTATATAAATACAAAAAAAAAAAAAAAACAACAAATCTAATAAATGCTTAAACAATAAGGCTAAAACAAGCCCATATAAGAAACCAATTTTGAATATTAATAATATTTTGATCAAGGAATATAAAAATGTCTTTAGTATATATTCGAATTGGAGAAAAATAAAATAATATAAGACAATTTATGATTTCAAAGATTATTTTACGGATAACTAAAAATCTAGCTGACGATATTTGATGGATGATAGTTAACATAATGTTTAAATATTACGTTATCTTATAGTTCACATAATATAAGCTGC